ATATATATATGATATATATATGTGATATATATATAATTACTAAGGTAGAAATGCCAAGTCATGACGAATTGCAAAGCAAACTATGACCAAAATGTCCTCCTAGCCATGTAGGATGGCATTTTTTCCTTATTACAGACTGGGTGCTTAGAATTAGATAAATTATTTAACTTTTACGTTTTTTGAAGATTATTGTAAAAAATTGTTTTCAAATAAGACTAGAAAAATGCTTGCTTTACTGATATTTCAGGTTAGGTTCATAAGTTCCAGTTGGTACTTAGAATTACCAAAATTATTTAATTTTTATGTTTTCAAGTGATTATTGTCAAAATTTGCTTTCAAATAAGACCCAAAAAATAAGGTTTTTACTGACACTTTATGATTTATATATAATTTTCCCAAGTCTGTCACGTTACTTGCCAAATCATTACAAAGCATGTAAAATGGTACTTTTATTTACCTAAATTATCATAATTTAATGTTTTTTAATGATTATTGCCCAAAAAAAGTGTTGGAATAAGTTCGAAAATTGATTTTAATAATTTGGTGATAAATTTGTTGAATCTTCCAAGGTGATCTCCAAATCATTTCAGAACATTAAAAAAGCTATTTCTTAGCATATTTTGAGGCAAGCCATTGAAAAAAATATCCTCCTTCAGTTCATAATGGAGATGAGCACCTAGCGATATATGACTTTTTCAGTCATAATGTGTGCAATACCTCTTCAGACAGTTGTGACCATATATTATGCAACAATATTTATATAAGACGAAGTTAAAACAAAAAATATAGAAAAAAAACCTTTACAGATCTGTTCTTAAAATCAGTCTTATGAGACTATAGTTTTAATTAGTTCAAATAAGGACAGGGCGTTGTTATGATTTTGGCATTGCGATGTGCCGTCACTCTAACATCGCGATGTTTCTGTACATTAATGTTTTATATTTAGAACTGTGTAAATTTGCAATCAGTAAGTTGCATTTTTTAAAAAAATAAACGGTGAATTTTTTTTCCAGTTATTTCTCAACATTTAAAGAAGTGGATGTCAGCCAAATAGTGGTTAAAAACATTAAACGGCTGGATTGACTGTAAAAAAATCACCAGGATTTGCACAACACTTCGATTCTCAATCACATTCAGATTCATCATGGTAGCAAAACGATGAGGCACGGTGTAAAAATATCGAGGAAAGATAACGATAATCGAAACTGCTATCACTGCACACTTACGGAGGAAAATGCTCTTCACGCGAGCTTGCAGACATCGATATACTATCGGAAACAATGCTCAACATCATGCCTGTAGATATTTATGTCCTATGAATATCTTACCCATCTCAGTAAATCACAATTTCTGATGCATTGTAAAATTGCCTATTCATAAAAAAAGTTTGATGATGAGTGCATAGAATCGATATTTTAAGATGCGTCAATTTATCGCCCAGTCCTAGTTTGAATTTTTTTTAAAAAGTCATGCTATCAAAAACAGAGTGAAACAAGTAGTGAAAGTCATCAAAGAATATGCATATTGCAGTTAGTTCACTTATTTATTGAACTAGAGAATTTTAAAAGATCTGTATTTGAATACCTTTGCTGCAGCAGGAACAATTTTTTTTGTGAAGGGCACAACTTCTTTTTGAGCGGAGATCATTCCAGTAATCTCATTATCTTTCGTGAACTCTAATCGAGATATGCCTTCAAAGCATTTCTTCAGGTGAGGTTGAACACGCTGAGGATCTTTAGTCTCAGACAAAATCTCAAGTAGTTCATCATTAGATAAAAAGAAAAATCTAAAAAGAATTAAGTTGGTTACAAACTGTGTCACAAATTATATAACAGCAAAATTAATAGCAATGAAATCCTTTTTTTAAAATAATTACTGAACAACTGTTAAATTGAAACTAAATCTAAGTAAATATTTAATTCCCCTGTTTGAATAATTAATTGCTGATATTGCTAATACAAATGGAGACATTTTTAGGAGGGGAAGTTCATACATTTTATTTCTTATGTGTTAGCTTCAAAAACTTTAAAATAACTGATATTAATAATAACTAAATACAAATTATAAATCTTGCTTTTGCATATCCATTTTCATTGAAATTTTTTTTATTGTGTTAAAATAAATGAAGAATAGAGAGGTTTCACAGACCTCTTTCCTCAAAGAATGCATTATTAGAGCTAACAGTTAGATATAATATTCTTATCAGTAATTATGAAAACATATATTACTTCTCAAACTGTACTTCTTTTTAACTAAAAATTTATTTTAAAATTTTTAATAGAGTTTTTTTTTCAGAGTGGCATACTGATTATTGCTTATAGTTTGATTATTTTTCCTTAAAAAAATAGAGTTAACAATTAAAACAAATATGATAGTACTTGTAAAGAGTTTTGACTAAATTTGCAAAAAAATGTTCTCAATTACAGAGGAGATCAAGGAACTGTAACTAAACAAAATTTGATAAATGTGAATAACAAGTGAAGTGAAACTTTACTCAACAAATCTAAAATTAAAACATTTATCTCTCAATTTATTGACTTGTGATCAACAATACAAGCAAAAACAAAACTTATTTTTTTATGCAAAATGTTCCCAACCTGCATAAAGCATTAGTATACGAACACGAACTGATTAAACAACCCATATTAAGACAAATTTAAACTTTTGCTAAATTAAAATCATAAGCAATCATTAAATTCAAAAGTTTAAATAAAATCTATCATCTGCAATAAGTTTAATAAAATTACATGTATAAATAAGGTAGTTTTTTTTAAATGATTGCACAGTAGCTATTATTATTTATATTNCTTACATTTTCCTCTACTCAACTTCAAGGATGAGTTCATTTCCGCTTTTTTTCATAATTGTTCTAGTTTAAAATGGCAGGAAAACCGATCAAAATATTTCCCGGTATTCTGGTTTCCCCGTTATCTGGATACCGGATAAATGGTTCTCTACTGTATATGTATTTTACTATTTAACTTTATATAATATTGATTCAATTTAGTGAGTGACAGTTGGCAATGTTCTCTTTTAAGGATTTTCTTATTGAATGACATATAATAAAATAATAAACCAGTTTATTACGTAAAAAATCAACCAGGTCTAAATAAAGACAAAATTAAAACAAGAAAGATTACAATTTGAACAAATAATATTTAGAAAGAAAGAAGATTTAAATTAAGAAAACCGGAAATATAATTTTTAATGCAATAATACATTTTGAAACATCATATTTACATTTACAAGTTGAAAAGATTATAAATTTATTAATTGTTAGGAGAATTGTTATCGACAATGTCAACCTTTATCTATGAAAAGGTTACCCCGCCATAGAATTGAGTTAATATGTCTTATATACTAGTGAATTGGAATTATATATTTACAGTGGTAGATACACTACAGTACTCCTGCACCATAATAATATCCGTCACAGAATTCAATGAATGGATGCCACTAGTTGATTCATTGCTATTTTGTGAGAAGCCGGGTGAGCTGTATTAAAATCACCGTTCTTTTTTAGTGCTGATCGTGAGCTGATATCATACCACTAGTTGTTTCATTGCAGTCTTGTGACAAAACCGGGTGAGCTGTATTAAAATCACCGTTTTTTAACTGCTGATCATGAGAGCTATATTAAGTTCATGGTTGTGGTCACTCCTGAGTTGCCTTTAGCAGTCGAGTGTATATGTTGTGTGTGATCGAAACTGAGAAGCAACAGCGTAAGGAGGACAATGTAGCAGTCATAAGTAACAAGTCAACTGTTCAATGTGGACCATCCATCAAAGTAGGGGTGCTCAAATTGTAGTGGGCGTTTCTGCGAAGGTAGGCGTGTTCACATCACGTCTGAAGGTCACCAATGTGGGGAGAGTTGTTATCGACAATATCAACCTTCATCTATGAAAAGGTACCCCACCATAGAATCAAGTTAGCATGTCTTATATACAAGTGAATTGGAATTATATATTTGTAGTTGTAGATACACTACATTAAGATATCATATAAGGCAACAAAAAAAACAACATTTACCTTGGAAAATAAAGTCGTTTTTTCTCCAAATAATCATTTAAACCTTTTTGGATCTCATCAAGTAGAACATTGCAACTTTGCAAACATTGCAACATATTGGGATGGGAAGTAGCTACTAAAACATGAGGGTCAGTAGCCTTTAAAAAACAAAAGTCATTACACAATCGTTATTGGAATGCAACTAACAAATAGCATTGTAACAAAAAATCAATAATTTTATTTTAATAAAAAGTTTTTGCATTCAATCATTATCAAATTGTTTCAACATTTAGATACCAGTAGTGTTTCAAATACAATATATTTTAAAGCTAATAAGTATGTTTGTTTCATGGTACATTTCTGATAATATAAAAGTTAAAGGAAGGGAACAAAAAATACAATAAGTGAATATTACTCTGCTGACTAACTAATCTAAAACTATTATAACATAACAATTCTGGTAAAATGTTTAACTTATTTGTTTACTTTATAAAAATAAAAATGAAGACAAAAGAGCTTTGAAGTTTTTGAAATAAGAATATATTTTCATTGCAAACGGTAATAAATGTACAAATACAATAAAAAGGCTTAACACAACATAAGATTTTTGGGACATTTATATACACTGGAATGATACATATTACAACAATAGCACTTGCAAAAAATTTGATTTTTTTCACTAAATACAGATTATATATTTAATCTAACTATTATAGTACACTAAATTATTTTATAAATAGTTGTAATTACAATTCCATGTTTTATATATTTTAATAGCTTTTGATGGTTTTATATGATGGTGATGATTTTAATAGCCTATAATGGTTTGACTATAATTTTTTTTTAGCAACTCAATGATTTTTTTCTAGAATTAGGAAATAGAAATATGATTTTCCTCCTTTTTTTTAATGAAGAAAATCATATTTCTATTCCTATTTATATTTCTATTTTGTATCAACACTATTAAATAATTTTAATTTATAACATCTGTAATATATAACAGATGTTATAAATTAAAATGATTTCAATAGTGTTGATACAAAACAAGTCTGAAATAATAAAAAATGATTAAAAGCCAACTTACAGCTTTCTTAGCTGTTTCCCTCCAGCTTTTATCCACAGTTGAAAATTTTTTCCCTTCTACCGGCATTTGCTGCATGATGTCTTCAGAGCTAAATATTGGTTCCAGGTACATCCAAGTAGCTTGACACTGAAAGCATTCATTTATAAATAATTTTTAGTGTAAAAAACATAACAGAAACAGAACATTAAATAACAGGCTAAACTTATGTAAAATATAATAATAAAAAATATAATCATAAATTTTTTTCCTAAAAATTCACGAAAAAACTATTGACTTAGATAATCAAAGATTATTATAATAATTTAAAATAATAAATATTCAAAAGGTTTATCAGGGATGAGAGTAGTCAGAAAGTAAAAAAGAGGAAATCCAAGANGAAATTAGCGGGAAAAATAGAAAAATCTGAAAAAAAGCGGAAATCCGCGAATCCGCGGAAGAATCTCATCCCTGGTTTATGCATCAAAAATTTAACTTAATTATTCAAAAAAAGAAAAAAATTGACTTTTCCTGTTTTTGTATTGTAATTAAATTAAGAAATTTCTTTCTTTTTATCGAAATCTTTCATATTAAAATAAGAGATTTGCAAGATAAGTGGAGTACAATACATACATTCACAGTATGACTTAATGGAGCAACTAGTCCCAATCGCTAAAAATTTGTAGGTAAATTAAATGAAATAATTAACTAATTTTGTCCGTACACTGCAAGAAAAAGTTATAAACGAATGAATTATTTAGAACCTACTTTTAACCATGAATCCAATACATCTTGAACTAACAATAACTTTTCTTCCCACATCTTGATTTCATTTTCAAATGGTTTGATAAAAGGTGATCCTCTCATTGTCTGAACTTTCAAAATATGATCATCCAATAATACTTGAATATCATCAACAGCAGACAAAATGGGCACATCCTGTTTCACATAGAATAAAAACACAAATTTAGTCAATGGTACCAATGACTGAAAATATTAAAAACTCGATGAAAATATGCACGGACAAGTATTATAAATAGTCAGTACACAATTTCATTAGACCATATGCATGTTTCAAATAAAATTCATAAAATGAATTCAAATAAAAAAATTACCATATAAAAAGTGTGTAATGTTCATAATTATGACAGAATATTCTAATTTGGGACAATAACACAGACCAAAACACATAACTTAAAATCAAAGAACAAAAAGGCATACAATCTCTTAGTCTCTATCGCATACCAGGAGGACTACTGATAATTATTTTCTGACAGTCCTAGGCAATTTTTGGTGGTCTAGGACCAACAGTATCAACATAGATTTTGAGTACTGCTTATGCTTTTAACTTATGGGTTGCTTAAAAAGTATGGTTTCAATAAAAAAATAAACTCTAACTACAGTCCAAAATGAAAGCCCTGTATGAAAACTATAGTTCTATAGCATCAATCACACAAGCTTAAATAAAACTTTAAGAGAACAAACCTTTTCTTATACTTTCACTAAAAAAGATGATAAAAAATGTAAACTGAAGATTTGCATTTAAAAATGTAATTAGGTATAATTATCATAAAATAAATTAGGAAATTATATAATGAATACTCAAGTAAAGTTGTCTATTATTATAAATTGATATAAATTTTAAAAGCGTTTTTTATTAATTATTTTCTTATTTTTATCATAATAAACATGTTAACACATAATGCAAAAGTATTAGTTTGCACAAATTCAACTAAATGTGTTTTTTTTTATTGACTACCAATTATATAATTTCTTTAATTACGAGAACAGGTGAAATACATTTTTCCTTATAATTATAAAATTTAATATTTAAAGTTGCACAGCGAAAAAGTCCCTGTTTTACCGGAAACTTTAAAACTTATTGATTTGGAACTTAAGATTTCCCTGACTTTTTCTTGAAAACTAAATATTTTTCCAATTTCTCCAGCCTTTACAAGGTTATCCAGATTGATAGAAACCTTGAAGTCTTTATACACCTCTAATCAAGGAGATTGCCCTAGTTATCGACACACCTTCTAGTTACATTGAAGTCAGTGATTTTAAAACATCCTCTGTCACATAAAATATTATATGTAATTACATTTATATTTAATTATGAAAAAAATTAAAGGCCATTTGTATGTAAAATACATATAAAAAAATTATGCTTACAGTTTCTCTATATGGCTTGAATTCAAACTCAATATCTTGCCATTCTTCCTTCATTTTTGCCATAGCCTTTTCTAAGGCAAATTCTTTGGACACAGTAACAGATAATTCTTCTACCCTATTCAAAAATATTTATTACTATAGGATTCATACACTCAGAGACTACATACATGACAAATTAAAATCATACTTTTCAATATGTTTATGAAGTCCAACTCTAATCATATCTTCTAGTGTAGCCTTTGGACCAGGGCTTATAATGAATCCAAGAAATTTACTTGCCTGAGAAAAAAAAATATAGGGGCATTATTATCAACAAATACAGATAAAGGGTATAAAAGTTTGAAGCTGTTGTTATCTTAATCTGATTGTTCTTATGTAATGAGAAGAAATTTTTTTAGAATTAGATAAAAGTTTAGATTAAAATAAACTAATTAGTTAACTATGTATAAATACCCATTTAAATCATTATTTATGAGAGCTAAAAGGCATAAAAATATGACATAAAGTTGGTAAAAGTATAAATTCAAATTCATCTTAAAAAGTAATATATTATTTAATAACAAATTATCTTTTAATAAGACTTAATATTACCTTTGTGAACATATTCCAAAGTAAAGAAAATAAATGAAAGGGATAGGAGTGTGTTAAATAATGGGAAATCATGGTAGTTCAAAAAGTAAAAGTATTACAACTCTAAAATTACATAAATACAAGAGGGAAAAAAATCAAATTCTTTTTCAACATTGATTAAATAGAAAATATGGCGGAATGCTTAGCAATTATATAACTAAAAAATTTTCAAAATAATTAAATAAAAATATAAATATTTACATATTTCCAATGCCTTTCCTTAATGCCAGGATTGCAAATTGCTAACAGAAGTGGCACATAATTACGAAACTTTTCTATTTTTGCTTTCAGGGATTTTGCGACCATTCTTGTTTCTAATTGGCCAGCAAATGTTTTGTCTAACTTAAACATCACACGCCACATTTCTTCCACTTGATTCTGAATAGCTTCAGCATTTAATCCAGAAAAAGGTCCTATTTCAATGAAATGTAAAAAACAATAACTAAAGTAAGAAAATTTAAATGAAGGCGGATAATGTCAAAATAACAGAAGTAACGCCATATAAATAATATTTATGCATTTTTTACATTGGAGTTGTTCAAATATTATGTTAACATGTTTTAGACAATTTTGGTCTCTACTCCCCCGTTATTAGCAAAAATAAGCAAATAATCCTTTCCCGTTCTTGTGTAAGAGCATCAAAATCTCCTTTGATTTTTTTAAACCTTGACTTTTACTGAAATAGTTTGATTTTAAGAACTTCAGGATTAAATTAAAGTAAAATAAGAAAACATGCATTAAAGAATTAACATGCAATTTAATTAATTTCACAAAATTTTGGAACAGCTTTGAAGAACTTTTTTTCCCTTCAATTAAAACGTTTATTTCAAATTAGAAATTTTTCTAAATACATATACTTTTTTTTTTGCATTGAAATGGCATATTGAAAAGGAGATTTATTGGAACTTATGTAAGCATTGTTTAAACGCTTCTTTTTCCGCAATCATCAAAACACAAATCCCCTCCTCCCTTACATAATATGTGATAAGCTCATTGTTTAGCTGCATTTGCATATAAAACAAAACAATTTTTACTTCACTTGTATAATTTATTAAAAGAATTATTGTTAGAATTTATTTTATTAAGATAATTATTTCAAACCATTAAAAATTTGGCTAACCATAATACCAGATTTCATAATTTTTAAAGAAATCAAGAGCAGTATTCCACATTTTTTCATAAGGTTCCTTCTCTTGAAACATATCAGGTATTGAAGGATGCATAGTAAGATCATGATGCAAAAGTCTTTCTTCTTCATTTATTGCCTAAAACAGCAAAATTAAAAAATAAATAAATAATAAAAGACAAAATTATTTACTTCACAATATTTAAATTTATTGTCAATTCATACCAGTGGTCTTATTAAATCAAATGGTACCGAGCCATCCAAGGAACATAAATTTAATTTCTCCCAGGTTTGTAGGACTCTCAATGGACGAGATGTTAACTAGGCACTGAGAGACGTCACTTATAGCCGCATCAATACCAGGCATGCAATTGTATTTTTGAATATTTAAATACAATTAAATTAAAATTATTAATTTTGAAATTTACATTTTCGCTTGTCAGAAAAAATTAAAATTTTAAGAATAGATTTATGTGATGTTTTTATTATTATGACAGGTGATTATTCTGTAATATTAGCATAATAATAATAGCTTGCAATATTCCGCATAATTATTTATGTAAATATAAGCATGATAATTTAAATGTTCCATAGTAAACTGATGTCGTAAACAAAATTTTACTTAAGTCAAATTTACGTAAAATTCAAAAGAATAAAACATTAACTTTATATTTATTATTTTAATGTTGTTATGAATTTTCTATTATTACTTTGAACTTTCTTCATAACAATTTGGATGCATGTAAATATAAGCATGATAATTTAAATGTTCCATAGTAAACTGATGTTGTAAACAAAATTTTACTAAAGTCAAATTTACGTAAAATTCAAAAGAATAAAACATTAACTTTATATTTATTATTTTAATGTTGTTATGAATTTTCTATTATTACTTTGAACTTTCTTCATAACAATTTGAATTTGGTTGAAAGAAAGAAAAAAATATTAATCACATGCTTAACACTTATCACATAACACTATAATAATCAAGCACTATTAGGGAGTATATCTTTGTACTCTTGTTAAATGATCTATTTTTAAAAGAAAAATTTTTTTTAATAAGTTTTCGTGTAACTAAATATTAAATAGAAATTTAAAAACAAATTTGTGTAAGAAGTTGCGATGGTAATCAAACAAAAGAATAAAGATTTAATTTTTATCCCTATAAGTCAAAACCTTAATTTGTTGAACTAAATGTTTGCAACTACAATAAAAAAAAATTGGAATCTTTCAAATAAATGCAATAATTGTTCGAAAATTGATGACACTGAAAAGCTTTAAAAACATTAAAACTAACTAAAAAAAATAGGTAACTGACAACAAGAAGAAACTCATTGGGAAGACCAAGGTCTACTTGGAGCTTTAGTGTCAAGAAGAAGGATGGTTCAAAATAATGAAGTAGCAATCATGAGGGTTGATGGACAAAGAGAGCAGAAGATTATAGAATAACATTTATAAAATAGTTGTAAAGGTATCCACCTCTAATTCATCTCGGGATTCAACAAGGCAATCATGAAGATATTTCAGACCTTCAACAGCAGTTCTTGATTCATCAAGGGATACTTCCTAAAATTAAGCAATAATATATAAAAAAGCATAAAACACATGTTTCTAAAATCTAAAATGCAGAATGCTTAAAGGAGTTAAAAAATAAGAAAGATATTAGGTTGACAAGGATGAAATTTGTAGGTTGAAAGTGTCAACTTTAACAGCTTATAGTTTAATATTGGTTAGATCATTTTTTTTTCCTTTTCGTAAAAGTCACATACCTCATCTACTTAAATGAATAATCACAAACTCTAAAAAGATATTAAAAATAAAAACTTATTTTATTGGAAAGGGAATAGAAATAAATTTAAACTATCATGAAGAGTGAGTTCTTACATGGAAGCAACTGGTAGGTGACCACTTTGATTAACCTGCAAAGGACACAGGGTGCTCTTTATTGGTCCTCATTAAACTGTTCTATGTTAAAGTGGTTGACTTAGCAAGCAGGTCATCAGGCTACCAAGGCAGAGGAGCAACCCCCTTTGAAGAGGATCAAAATTATGATGACATGTCTTCGGATCATCTTTAGGGATATTTCCTGGACTATCGCTAATTGCCATTTGTGCAGCTCTACCGTGATGCAAATAAAGCCTACTACTCTTACAAGGAAATAAGGCATCACATACCATGAAAAACACAATCTTGAATTTGGCTCTTGTGTACAAAAGTGTTAGTGTTGGTTGAACAAATATGAAACACTAAAACACAACACCAAATCTTAATATTCACCAAAAAAATAACTAACGGTATTTGTTAGATGCCTTAGGGCAGGCCTGATCAATTATGATTTTATGAAACCTAGCACACCCCTCACAATCAAAATAAACTGAAACAGGACAAAACAATGGAAAAAGAATGGAAATTAGCCTTCATTAGCCAACAGATCATTTCCTGTCTAATTACATGGCATTGGAAAAGTGCCATGCAATTAGACAGGCACAACAGAAATGACATGGCAACACTACAGGAATTGGTACTTCATAATCCTCCATACTCACTAGACCTCAGACCTTATTAACTACCGTTTTTTCTAAATTTGAGCATCCTTTTTTAATAGAAAAACAATTCAATTCTGAAAATGATGTAAAAGTAGCTTTTCAGAGATTCATTTACTTTTCGTCGAAACAGTTTCATCTCACTTGCCTTTACCTGTTGTTTACATGGCAAAAGTGCAGAGAAAATATGAATGCATATTTTAAATGAAATAATTTATTATATCTATAAAACCATCAACCAACTTGAATGAGTGGTAAATTCTTTATTTTATGCTGGCAGAAATCAACATTTTCGTTTAATATTTTAATTCTATCAGCAAGAAGAGCTTCAGCTTCTTCTTTTTTCTTCCGTAATTCAACATGTGTCACTTTAAAAAGTTTTTTCATAGCTTTTGGCCATCTCAACATTGTGCTATGTCTAATTAAATCAGTATCTGAAAGAAAAAGAAATGCTTAAAACTAACTTCTATCAACAATTTTAAACTTTTCATAAAAATTAAAATAAATAAAAAAACATGGCATAATTTTAGCAGTGATTCATAAATTAATGGCTTGCTTATTAATTTATTAATAACGATATAACTATCAGGGAAAAAATTTATTTTCAAAAATAGTTTGGTTTGATTGAAAATTAATTTGGTTTTCTTGCACAATTATATGAAGCTATCAGTCAGTGGTTGCATGTGATTCACCTTTAATGATGATTGGAAGAAAATAATGACCCACATGAGCAAAATTTAGATAGGAGGTCAGATGGTAAGAATCATGCAGACTGGGCACCATGCTCTCAGATGGCCTAACCATGATTTTTTTAGAGAATTGACTGAGGTGAAGATATTACATTTGAATGGATTCTGATCCACTAGGATATAATTTGAGAAAATGGAAACAAATTACACACCCAACCTGTAGAATGAGGAATCAAAACCTGGTTTAAGCCATGATAGGCAAAGAATAATGTCAACACACAGAATGGACAGTATTTTAAGATCATCATTGAAGAGATCTTTCAACCCTGATTTAATTCAGATACCCTGCAACTTCTTTATTTATTTATTTTACTTTCAGTTTAAGGAGGAACAAAAAGATTTCTCACATAAACAATTGATTTAACATTTATTTAAAAAAATATTAAAGTTTACCAGCCTACCAGTAAATTTTAAATTATACTTCATTGAGTATTGAATATTTTAAAAAAAATATTATTTTAGAAACATTAACTAGACCCATCACAATAATCTTTGGAACATATGTGAATGTGAATTTATTAAAAGCTATAAACTAAATGTATGTTTATTTTATGTCTCTGCATAAAAGTTTCCAGTTAATTAAAGTGGACTATATTAATAAATTTTAATATATTATATTACTAAATTCAATTTTATAGCTGTTTACATAAAATATGGTTTATAACAACAGATTTATTTTCTGTTTTATTTTGAGTAAATAATGAAGGAAATTTACTTTTTTTATCTAATAATAAAAATATTATTAGATTAAATTAATCCCTTGATGTAAAATAATGAGTATTATTTGTCACTGACTTTTTATACCATATAACACAATGACAAGTTATACTCATCATGCAACTAAAGCTTTTGTTGAACATGATAAAAAATTTGTTTTAAAATTTAAAGTGTACTGAATATGGCAGGACTTTTAAGTTCAGATTATTTTTTAAATAAAAATTAAATAGTTATTTCATGTATAATTTTAGATTATTAAATCTTACTGGACAGTGCTAAAGAAATAAGCTAAATAAATATTTAAATTTACCAGGTAGGAGAGCATTATCCATCAAAAATAAAATCCGAGTAATTGCTTTTTGAATTTCTTTTACAAGTTCTAAAAGTTTTGTTTCTGCCTGAAAAAGAATTCAATATAAAAAGCATGAAAAATTAAAATGCAATTAAAATTTTTAAACTAATTTGAAATTCTTTGATATTCCCAGGTGTTTTGATATATATGAACCCTGTTACCTACATTTTCAAGTTTTATATCTTGTAAATAGTTATATTTTTGTTACTTTTGAAGGTAAGGAAAGTATTTGTTTCATCTTACAGAATAATTTTCAAAAATCGAAAAATAAATAATTTTTCTTATAATTTTGAGTTTTCTAAACAAAATGGTTCTTTTTCAACTCATTTTCAGGGTAGGGGAGAAAGAGTATTAGAGTTAATATTGCTCACAACAAAACCTTTTGGATAATTATTTCATTTAAAAGTAATCATAATAATCGAGGTAAAAATAAAGCATATGGAATTAAGAAGTGCTATCATACTTGTACAAAATCAGCCAACATAATACAATGAAACCTGTTCAGCTGACTACATAAGTTGATATCAATTAATTAAGAACTGAATTTATCCAATGTAATTAAAGGAAGCAAAACTTTTCTACTTAGTATGTTGACCCCTATAATAAATACAATTTGTCCAGGGATAAAAATTGAAAGCTATTTTAACCACTTTATAAGTTAAACAGAACAAAACTTAATTACGAAATTTTTTAAGCTATTAAGTTATGTATTGAGCTATTAAGTTATGAAAAAAGTTTTAAAATTTAACAAAAACTTTAAAGTATATTGGAAAATATTAAGAGTTTTTGTCGTACATAGGTTTGATTGTGTAGCAATAGATTTGAAAATATTGAAATGAATAAAATGTTCTAATTGCATATATGCTCTTAAGTACTGATATTTTAGGAAGTTATTTATAAGAAATAACTGCCATGCATCACTAATAAAAAATGCATAACATTAAACTAATCAGTTTGACATTAAATTACGGTGATAAATTGAAATACCTTTTGTAATTAATATCATTTATTAAGACAAGATATTTTTGATAACTAAAACTTTAAACTCATGTTAAAAAGATTAAATTGCATTATTTATTTTGATAAGTAATATGAAAGGAATACGTGGTTAACATGATGTATAGATAAGAATAAAATGAACGAAATTATTAAAAAAAAAAACATCGAAATCTATATAAGTTGACCACTAAAGAAATGTTCCAAAAGTATCCAACTCAAACATATTTCACTGAAGTCAAATACTGTACAATATCATAGAAATAAAATTATCTGATTTAATTCCACTATCTCTGTAAAGGATAAGAAAAAAAAAGACCTGTTATTTAAGAAAAAGGTAAAATTTGGAATGATACAAATTTTAACTATTAATTACATCAAATTCCAGAAAGTAGGTACAAATTTAAACATATCTATTTAAATAGATGCAGAAATATATTACATTAAATGAGTTGCTGAAGCAAAAAATAGTCATGGATGAAAAAAATGACATAATTTCATTTAAAAGTAAATGTTGAATTAAGATTTTTGCAAAAGAAACAAATTGCATACTAATTTTAGATTTACATCCATTGCAACTATTTCTTCTGTATTATTAACTGGTTCAATTAGTTGACTTTGCATTGTGCTGCATTCTTCACATATCCTAAGAGAAAATTAGAATAAATTTTTTATTAGGAAACAATGTCGAATTTTTACTTACATGCAAATTAAAACATTATCCTTAAAAAAAATTAAGATTTTTCTATTTTTATGCCAGATCTAGCTCTTATCATTTATTTTCGTTTAAAAAAGGAAGAAGACTTGGCATCTGCTAAAAAAATAGAAGCTTTTGTTCAGGTTGTTGTACAGTGCTAGTTGCCGGCACTGCAAACCTTCTTCTATTCAGAAAACAATTTAGTACATATGTTACCGGCAAAGTTTGGAATCCGGCATTTTATAGAATGCCTAAAACTAGCCGGCAATGTACGAAACGATTTATATTTCGCACATTTCCTAGGCATTCTATAGAATGCCAAATGAGAAACCGGCAAAGTATAAAATACATCTCCGATTCGTCAAAATGTCATTCAAGAATGACAAATTCAAAACCTCATTCAAGCCTGTCATGTTGCAACAAGTAGGTTAATTTCTAATTTTTTATATGAAAATTTTGTTTCCCTTAATAAGAAAGGCATAAATTATGTTTTGCACAACTTTTTATTTTTCTTTACACAGTTTGAATAAATGTTTTTTAATGGCAAACTCAGTATTTTTTCAGAATAACATTTTTATTTTTGAGAAATGCATGTTGACCGAAATCTAGAGAATGCCGACTTACACCGGTGAATGTCAACAATCACATAGTCTTCTAATCTATTGTCAGTAAGTATTAAAATATCTAATAAATGTAATTATATCCACGAATAAATTAATATCAAATTGGATCTAATAAATATTTCGGACATTCACCAAAGTGACTATGTGATAGTCAACATTCACCTGTGAAAGTCAACAACCACCGATTTCGGTCATTCACAGTAACATGCACATCATTTACATAGTAACCTCATCAGTAAGTTTTTTTCATAATTTGCCTAAATAGCATTTGTCATTCTATAGAATACCTAGGTATTTTATACAATGCCTAAGGAAAGTATGTAATACTTCTCACATTTCATACTTTGCCTAAAAACATCTGGCATTCTATACAATGCCGGCATTTCATACTTTAAGCGGTAACATATATATATATATATATGCTGTATAGTTAATTAAAACTAAAGAGAGATCCTTCACTGAAAAATCTAACTACTTTTCAAAACCATTTTGCAGAACACTCTTTCATTATATTTTTTATTTATGAAGAAAAGGACATTTTAAAATTTTATTTTTCACTATAATTATTTTTTTTCCATTGAAATATCATTATTACAAAAAAATATTTATATAGAATACATTCTATAAAAGCTATCATCAAAAAATCCTTATTATTTTCATGATATTGTACAAAAATTTTTTTTAAATAAACAGTGTAAAAAAATACTCATAAACTACTTTGATTTTAATATATCAACTAAGCTTATGATAATATTATCAACACTTAGCACTGAAATTTTTAATATCGCTACATAAATCACATAATTCAATTTTAAGAATTTGAAATACCATAAAAATATGATTTACACATAGAAATTGCAATAAACACTCACCATTCTGTGTGATTGGTATTAGTTGTAATTTGAAAATCAATTAGCTTCTGACAAATAGTATCAATTTTTTCACAAAGCTGTTTCTTCATTTCATCACAGTTCAAATTAAATAAATTGAGATGTATGTTACTTTTTTCAGTATGAATAGCTTGTTTGTGAGCCTGTACTTCTTCAATTTTCTAAGCAAAATATAATAAACAATGGCTATTAAGCATGAAAACACATGGTAAGTTTTCATAATTTAATATATTTTGTAATTAAAAATGTGTGTAAATTAAAGAGAATTTACTTTTGGAAATTCTTTTATATCAATTTCATCACTTTTCAAAAAGTTTTCAGTATCATCATCAAGAGTACCATCAATAATGTAAGAAAACTTGTCAAACTGCCTAATGTACCTGCAAAAGATAAAATATATCATTTAAAAAAAAAACTTTTTGCTTGGTTTTAAACTGAAAAAAAAAGTTAACATTTACTTACTGGTTCAAACCTATTTCATTAAATTTCAAATCATTTTCAACAGAACGAAAACAGAGTTCAACCATTTGATCATTCTCTGGTATAGGATATAAATTAAGCTTTTCATCATCAAATACTCTCAAAAGAATTTTATCCGGCTACAATGAAATTAAACATAATTTAAATAAGTTTATTTTACATTAATCACATAAAAAACCATGAAGATGTATTCATGATTTGAATACAGGAACATTAGAAACGAGCGAAATTCTTGTTTCAATTTTAAAGAAGAATTAAGTATAATGTGAATTCAATGATCTAGATTTGAAGTGAATCTAACTTAATAGCATTATCTTTAAGCTTTCTGATTTATTACTAGCTATCAGAATGTAAGAACTCACTAAGTTTTTAGATGCTTGGAACTTATTTTTTCAAATTCATATTAAAGAAAAGAAGAAAAATAATTATATTTAGAAAATTATTCATTATAAATAACACAGCTCACTTATCAGAAAAACAAAACATGAATGGAAATAAAAATTTAGGAAGTAGGAATGAATTTTTAACAAACTTAATTTATAAAAAAATCATTCATAAAATTTCCTTAAGGACTGGATGCAGATGTTTAGCTAGAGTTATTAAAACAACATCACCATTGCTTCACTTTCATATTTCAACTTTTAACATTTTTTTTATGCACAGAGAATTTTCTTTTACATAAAAATAAACTTGACTAGGTAAATAAAAAATAAGCTAATTTTGTTAGCTAAATTCTTATTTTTTAATAAAAATTTGAGGAAATGCTTAATTGATATTTTATAGCATTTCTGATGTAATATTTACATGCTGGGCCCAGCATTTAAAGGTAAAAAAATAAACGTCTGATCTAAATATTTACATGCATACTGAGAAATACAATCTTTGGCCCTGACAGTCATTATAATTTTTGCTAAGTTCAATAAACAGATTAAATTTTATGCTAAAATTATAATGGTAAAAACTTTTACCATTTTAAATGTTTGTACAATAGTTCAGTTTAAAAATAATCAAATAAATAAAAACTCCAAATTTCTTTTTTTATTTTACAAAATTTTAACTCTAATCTGATAAATTTTTTTCAAATTATGATTTTTTGCATCCTGCTAAGATAAATTTAAACAGGAGGGAAAGTTTAACAGCGAAGTACTGTATATGTTACAAAATCTCTTATTCTATTAGATGCCTAAAATATACCGGAAAAGTGTGAGAAGATAAACATTTTATAAATTGCCTTGGCAATGTATAGAATGAATAATGACAAATATGCAAAAGTATGGACAATTAATATTTCCTATATTAGTTAGATATTCTGCAGAATGCCTAATAAAAAACAAGATCTTTCACAATGACTAGGCATGGTATAAAATTATTCTCATAAACCATATTTCACCCGAAAAGAACAGGCATTTTATATAATGACTAGACATTCTACACATGCCAGTATTTCATAAAATGATAGTAACATATATAGATTTTATTCCTGTTATGTTTATTTTAAATGTAAGAAAAACTTACCCTCGGAAGATTTTGAGAAATCTGCAAAAGAGAATGTATTACAAAAAGGAATTCTTTTTTCCATTCATCAAAAGTCATTTCCATCATTATTAAAGAATCTTTCACGACAACACGGATGGAAAGAATAGGAAAATTGAGAAAAGTTTTGCACCTTGTGAGGTCATTTCCAATCTAAAAGAAGAAAATCAATTATATTTTGGTAGATTATTTTACACATTAAAAGACAGAACAGTACTATAATAGGCACGATAAACAGAACAGTATTATGATAATACTAGACTAAATGGTGCTATAGTAAAAACTGCCAGTTAGGTTCTAAATAGCTTTAAATAAAATATTGTTTTCCCCCCATAACAATACAATCATCTAACGCAGGTCTCATTGCAACAAACAACATTATTTCCCCTAGATCAAATTAAGACAGAGTAAGGAATAAGCAATACTTAAAGCTGAGCAAGCATCTTGGTAGGATATTGTATAGAATTTCTGTAGATGATGTGGATAATATTTTGAATCTAGTTATTTTTTACATAGCTATAGTTGTTTACAATTACAATTTTTGTGGAAAACGTTTTCAAGTGGTAAAAAAATATATGCTTTTATATTTGATTAATTTTTTGTTATGGTTTAAAACAGTTTTGAATACCATAACTAAAAAAATTAGAAACTTTGGAAAAAAACTTTGCGGAAAAAAACAAAGGCACAAAAATCTACTTTAAGTTAAAAATCAACATTTTAAAAGATGAAATTTACTAACCAGCCTTAATTATTTGATCATCTTAAACTAACCACTAAAAAATTAAACACTTGACTGGTAAATAGATATACAAGTAAATACAATGTAATAAAAACTGCTAACAATATGAAGCAAACATAAACTGATAAGATGCTGATCGAGGGGACATAACTGACAGATGCTTAAATCATTAGTTTAAGCATCTGCTATAAAAAGAACTATGAGATACAGGGTTCAAACTAAATTTTTTCAGCAGAAAATACTGCTGTGACTCACAATTTTAAGTTTAAAACAAATTCTAAAATATGTCTAAATTTGAATGAAATAAAGAATTTTTTTCAATTCAAATCAATTCATAATAGAACAAATATTTTTTGAATTGTGTAATAATGATTATGAATAACTTTTATAAAATGAAATACTTAGATAATAAAAGAATAAAAAAATTAATTTATACACATCAATAATATCTTTTTTAAAACATAATAAGCACATTTTCTTACTTTCATTTAACAGTTTCACAGTAACTTTTTTCTAGATTTTGCACATGAATGCTTTTTATGAAACATCTTAAAAGAATTTTACAGTAGCTTGTTTGTACTACATAAAAATGAAGTTTTCTCTTATAAGAATTTAATTTTGAATTCCATAAAATAGAAATAATGACATATAAAATATGTATTGCGTGGCTCTATCTTTATCTTTAGTAATTTACAAATAAAAAACAAAAATGTTACAAGAAAATTTTTACTCTTCTAATAGAATATCAATATAAAATTATTACATAAAATAGAACATAAATTTTTGCCTGGATTTTTTAACTTTTATTTAAAAAATTCGTTTACAATCAGCATGAATTAAAAAATGATTGTTGCACTTAAAATCTATTCTTAAACCACAATTAAATAAAAACCTAATTAATTTGAAAAATTAGTGAAGTTATTAATAAAAAAATACTCACAGCATATTTGTGAATGAGTTCCATATAATTCCATATGCATTTAGTAATGAGTTGTCTGAGCATTGATGACATTATAACAGCCACAGATGAAAAATATCTTTGAATTTTTTCAGTGGAAGCACCAGATTTACGAGAAACAAGAGGCTCCCAATCTTGTTTGCGGTACTTGATCAAGATTTGTACACTTTCAGTAATCCAGCTAGAAGTGGACATTATCAAAACAATTGTTAATACATTAACAAAAATTACTGCTGAACGTATCAAAATAGTGGATAATTTGAAGAAAAAAATTAAAGAAAAACGAAAGGAGATAGAACTATACAGCATGCTTTATTCCGCGAAGGTATATAGTTATTTTTCCCCCAAAGCTTCAAAAGAAGTTTTTGGTTCTACAGTAAACTGTTGATCATTTTTTGCAAGCTATTTTAATTTTTCTCAGTGTCATTTTCTTGGAACAGAAATGCCATAATGAAAGTTGCCATAATTAGCATAATGAAAATTGGATTTATGAATAAAATTTAGCATTAATAAAAATGTCCCCTACTGATATAATTATGCGTAAAAACAAATATATCAATTATTAATCATCAGAGATTTGCAATGTAGCTGGGAGAAGTTTTGTGGGTATCTCCTAAAGGCTTTTGTCAACCCAAAGTCTATGGAAAAAATTCTGAGCATACCAAAAGTGGTCTTAAATAGAGAAGATCCTTACACAGAGGTTGTCTTCCCTTAAGGTTTCACTGTATTTTGTCACTTACCTGCTTATTTAAATAATATCAGTAGACTAAAATTACTCAACAAAAATTAATTCCAAATTATTTTATTAACCAAAAATAGCATAATTATTTTTTTTTTACCCATTAATCAAAGTTGATTTAGCAGCTTCACATTGAGCCTGAATAAGCGAACGGAAATCATTGGCAAATGGTGCAATCGGAGTACTTGCAAAATTTTCAATCAGTATGAGATCCAAGTTCTGATATCTAAAAAAAAAAATAGATCAATACTTTTAAAACTGGTAGAAATTCAAAGCAATAAGACAAGACACATACTAATTATACAGTTTCTGAGACAAATATTTTTTCAGAAAAGTGACTTTTGTATAGATGATTTAACCCTTTAACAGTAAAATGCATTTCAGATAAAGATATGAAAAATGTAAATTTACTAATTGCTAATTGGGCATTTAAGTTAGAAAGAACCTATTTTGTAAATACAAAATAAGAGCATACATTAACACACAAAATCTGCTACAGACAATGATTCAGAGCTTATAATAACTGTTAATCACAATTTTCCTCAACTATAAAAATAATTTTAGAAAAACTAAAAAAGACATAAAAGTCTTTTAAAATGAAAAATATTTTGATTTTATGTTTTAATTGCTTCTACAAAAAATAATAATATCGGTAAAAATATACAATAAGAAAGTTTGAAAGCACTTTTACTTAAGAGTTTTAAAAAAAACTCTGTGTTTCAAAGAAACAAATATAAATTTCTTAATATTTGTAACAAGAAGATTCAGCGCCTGATATGAATATACAGGACAAACATGTCTGTTTATTTCTTAACATCTTTAAAACATGGAGACAATTAAGCTATTATGATAACAATTTTAATACTTGTTCAAAATATTGTGCATATTAAAATTCCAAGAAGTTTAAGAAGGACACTAAGTCAAACTTTTGAGAAAAGTTAAGTAATAAATAGTTTCAAATCCTAACGGAAATTTATAAATACAATTTTTAGAAATTTCAATAATTTCAGCAAATTTTCAGAAAATTTCATATCACTGTATGCATTTAAGCAATATGTCACCTGAGTAAATATTATAATCAAACTAGTATAATTATGAGTCACATTATTTTTATTAATTGATTCCTTCCCTAACAAAGTTTGATTCTAGGCCTAAAATTGATACAGGGCAATTTGGTGTTAAAAAGTAGCTGTATACATAAATTAAGTGTTAAGAGTATGAGAACATTTCTGATGTCTTACTTTTCTGATATTTAATCGTATTTTAATAACATGAATAACATTGAAACCATCAAAACTGTTTTTCAAATCAATATCAGCAATTTTTAGCAATAAACATGTTTCAGTTTTCACCTGTTAACGTTTTGAAAATTGTTTATGTCTCTTGTGGAAATAGTGGCAAGCAAAGCCTTTACTCTGGCTAGTACTTTCGAACTGAAATTTCATGCCCTGTAGTATAATACATATTTTTACATAATTTTTTTAATAAAAAAAAAACTATTCCTTTATAATTATCCAGAAGAAAGTTTCATTACATGCTTGGAAGCAATTGAGATTGAATACTATTTCAACACCACATTCTGCAATAATTTTTGCACACAAATTATATCTAAAATATGTAGTTACTTGTCAGCCCACAAATAAGAGATTTTCTTAATGCAAGGACGCAGCAAAAAAGCTCTCGAGTTCAAAAATTTTCTTGTCGAATGAACAGAACTTTCCCAAGGAAGAGAAGCAGGGGTATTTCTAGAAAGACATTAATTAATTAAATATTATTAATGGGAAAACAAGAAGTAAAATGAAGATCTACACTGAAATATAACATTTCCTTCATTTCAATTAAAAAAAATAGTGCCTTTAATGTAAAATACTTCTTGGTGCTATTTTGAGCAATTATATGAATTTAAAGAACCATATTTAAATTTCATAAAAAGAAAAAAAAATAAGATTAAACATTTCATATTTATAGCTGAGTGTCTACAAAGACCAGAAGGTCTACCTTAGTCAAGAAGAAAAGTTTTGCAATTAAAAGTTAAATCACAAAAACTATAAGTTTAATTAAAGGTTTCTCAGAATTTTCTCAGTTCTAATTACATATTTATAGATGGAAAGCATTTTAGAACTAAGCAATGTAGCATTAACACTTATTCAATTATTTCAGCTCAGTTAAAATAATGTATAAATGATTGCTTTAAGTACAACTTTATACAGATAGAAGTTAATTCATTACATACAATTTTTTAGACAAAACCATAAGTCTCCCCCCCCCCCCNCCCCCCCCCCCCAAAAAAAAGAATATCTCTGCATAAAGCAACTTACACATGAGACCACTTTGGATATACACTTTTGATACCTAACCTTTTTCTTTCTGATTTGTCCATCAAAATATAGTCAACTGAAAAGGAAGACAATAGCTTTCATAAAACCAAAAATCTAATGTTATGAAAGTAAAGTAATAAAAATGAAAGAATTGCATTATCCTTAAAAGAAAAAATTAATATTTTTTTGAAATATTATCAATATAACTAAAAAAAAGTTTTTAGAATATTGACATATTTAAATAGCAAGTGATTATGTAACCATATATTCAACAAATGATTTATTAGTTACATTTTACTCATATATATGAAAGAATAATATTATTTTTAGCTTCATAAAAAATAACACGAATAAACAATGAAACTAATATAAAATAAATTAGCAGAAAGAAAGCCCTAAATGATCCATGTTGATACAAGTCCTTAAACTATGAAACAAATGAATTAAAACAAAAGAACTATTTTTTTTAAAAAAAATCTATATATTGGTAATGATAATTCAAAGCAAAAGGATATTTTAAAAGCAAAATAAAGCAAAAAGATATTTTAAACACTTTTATAAGAAGTAAATAGGAAAAGCACAATAATTATAAATGATAATACAGTAGGGAACCGATTATCCGGAACGATCGGGACCATCGCTATTCCGGANTCTTAAATTTAAAAAAAAAGGCAATGGATATTACTAATATCTTTTTGAACATCATTGTTTAAAAGTGTATCAAATATTTATAGTTATGAATTAATATTTGATCATACAACATTTGCCTATATGAATATTTCTTTATTAGCTTACCAATGCTTCTTTTCACAGCAACATAATAACTTTGTCGGATTTCTTCAATAAGCTCGTTAGATTTCTGTTCAAAAATAGATAATAAATCCTGCTTGATGTTAGCTTTCTTGCAAAGTGCTTTAAAGGATAACTGTAGTTCGGGAAGATCTTCATCTCTGATGCCATTTTGAACATAATACCAATAATTCTAACAAATAAAACAATTACATAATTACAATAACAAATATAAACAATTTGAGAAAAATATGAAGATTAGGAAATTAAAAGATAAAAATACATATCGTTCAAATTTTCTTAAGGAAAATGTTTATAAAAACATTTTTAAAAGAAATAATAACAAATATTTTGATGCAAGCCCTAGTTATTACTTTTTAAATTTCCTTTTTGAGTTTAAATAAATTCTTAATAAATCTAAAAAAGATAATTAATAAATAAATTTAAAGTTATAAGCATTTGTATTGCAAATGTTATCAACATTGAAAGAAAATTAAAATCTGCTAAATTTTTAAAACAAAATTAGATATTTATTTTTAGGAAATTATTAAACCAATGCAGTTTAAAAATTTATAATATTGCATTAACTTACTATTTTAAAATTCATTTAATAAAATAAGACTTAAATATTAAAGAATTAACAAAGTCAATTAAAGAAATAGGATTCTCTTTGTACAGGAAGTGCAATAACACAGATATTATTTAGAAAATTCTAATAATGCTTTGACTTGTTTTCAGAAAATTGTAAATCTTATTATGACTAAACAACATTTTCAAGTTTAATCATGAAACAATAAATATATGAATCTTGCATAAAGTTAGTTTTTTTAATAAACCTACATACAACGTAAGATGTTTCCCAAATCATTAGTAATTAAATTATGTAACATGGAAAAACTGGTGAGTAAAACATTTCTAAAAAGATTCAATGATTTCAGGCATCGACTTATTACTAAAATATAAAAATAACTAAATAAGTAATAAAAAAATAAGAGGTAATAAAATTAAAATTTCTGATATCTGAAATTTGGACTCAAAAAAATTTTCTAATTAAGAATATCAGTTGCTAACCAAATATAAAAGTTCAATAATAGTTTTAATAAGAAAAAAATTACTTCACAATCTTCTTTTGATGGCAATTTTGCAAGATGTTTCTTCAAGTCCTGTCTTTTTTGTTTAAGTGTATTTAAAGGCTTCACACTAGAAGAAATATTACTTATCAAACAAATATGATTTTTTTTTTTTTTTTTTTTTTTTTTTTTTAAAAANTTTTTTTTTTTTTTTTTTTTTTTTTTTTTTTTTTTTTTTTTTTTTTTTTTTTTGTAAAACAAAATAATAAAAAAATCACTTTCTTTTCAATATATGGCAATCAATAAGAAAGCTTAGTCATCAGTTAAAAACAGTATAATATTTACACTTTTTAGTAACATTTATTTTGTTCTTACAAAACTCCTAATAGAAAAGAATTGTCTGCATTCAGGCTAGAACAACAAACTTTCAACTAAATTTCATCAATAAAAAAACAGAGGAAAATTCCTAGTGACAATTAAAGAAAAATAAATTCTATATACCTATCTTTATCACGAGATAATGAATTCCAGCTTTTCTCTATATTTAGGTTTTCCTCAGAAAATCCTATCAGTGGTTTTAATCTTAAAATAAAATTAAGAAAATTAAAGCAGAACAATGCAGGAAATAGTAGTTAAACTATAAAATAAAGATTAATATTATTTAAACACTGAAAAACAATAGAAAAAAATGCCTAATGATCATTAAGAAATATATAAGTGGAAAAAAATATGAAATGAATCTCAAAATTTAGAATGAAAATCAGTATTGAATTATCAAAAACTGAATATAACCTTGCCATACCTGAGGATCGAACCTAGGAAGTGTGGCACGGGAGCGATAACCACTACCACTCAGCCACCGGGCGTCTTTATCTGTACCACCAAAACAGTATAACAAGATTGTCTAGACCCAAGATGTGACCCAGAGATCTATTTTTAAATTAACATATTAATTAAAAGTTACATAGTTTAAAAAATATTAATTTCAAAACAGATTGAATAGTTATAGATACTTTATTATGCAAAATGCATTAAGTGTTGATTTTCTTAATGAGAAAAAACAAGCTCATTTAATCATGATTAAAATAAAGAGAGTTGGCTATGAATTAAAATTATGACCATCAATATCAGTCCAACATGCATAAAATTAAAAAATAAATAAAACTGAAATATTAAAATAAAAGTATTCCTGACTCAATATATGTTTTCCAAAAAACTCTAGTAGTAACCCATTTAGAATAACTCTTTCAGTACGAAATATAGTGAGAAAAGATATTTTAAAACAATTTAATACAAAAAATAATTATAGCAATAACAGTAATAAATAATATAAAATAAAAGGATATTCTTAGGTTTCACTGACAACTTTGAAGGTAGATGTAACTTGGATAATTGACGAACATCAGGTAACAGAGAACCATTCCTGAAATTTGCACCGATTAAATTACTCGGTTTATGATGCAAATCTTTCGCCTTGTAGGAAACAAACCTTGTTCGGGTATGACTGGCAAAAAGAGGTGGATACTGGTTAAGCTCCTTGCAAATCTAGAAGTGCAAATAAAATTGTTCTTAAATAAAAAAAAGTGGCATAGAAATATTTTTCAAATTTTAAAATTACAAGACAAATTAAATTTATATGTACATTTAGTAATTTGGATTACATTAAAAACCTTTAAAACATAAACTCTCCTAGGCAAAATTGGAAAGAAAAAAAATTAAACCTTACATGGATAGAATTTCAAATACATATCACCCAATCATAGCCAAGCACCTAGCTCAGTTCTTCAGAGCTCAATCTTCTAATGACTATGGTAGGAATACCATGTAATTTTAACCATGTTAAGATGATGTGGTCAGCCCCAGAATATATACAATCTCTCAAACACTACACCACAACCACAGAGAGAACTTTCAGATATGACATATTTAAAGTGCCCTTTGTTATATACATGCTGTTATTGATTTATTTGTCAGAAGAATTTTCAGTAGATTTGCTGTTAGAATAGCATTCCTAAAACTGAAAAACTAAATAACAAAAACTGAATTTTTGAAAAATTTTAAAATTTAGTAAATAATAAAAAAAATTTAAAAAAAGTATAATTACAACAAAAAACATACATTGTCATAAAAATGGACGAAATATTCCTTAAAAAAAAAGTGTTAAACAAAAGCAATTTTTGATAGAAAAATAAAAACATTAAAAAAACCTAAGAAATAAATAGATCTACCTATTCACTTTTGACAATTATTTTGAACTACTTTACATTAAAAAATGAATGCATATTACACTGCCTCTATTTTTAATTATTAGAGTAATTGGATTTTAAAAATCTGGGAAGATAATAATATCAGGAATGGTAAAACTTGAAGCTTTAAAATGTTATTTTGATTCCATAAATATTAGTAATAATACAAATTAGAGTTCTAAATTATCGTGTTTAAATCAATTACCTCCATATATTCTTCAGGGACATCAATATCCTCCACAAATGTTTCAGAAATATCAACATCAGGCAAAATTTTCCGTTTCTTTTTAACAAAAGATGTAAGTTTTTTCTTTGTAACCCGTTTTTCTTGAAACTTGGAATTATTTTCCATTATTTTGAAACTAGGCGTACATATTCTTCTATAATCCTAAGACTCCATATCCATCTGACAAACTTAGTACATAGTTTTTAAGTATTGATACATAACTTATTAGTTCGTTAAATCTAGCATGAAAATGATATATACTAAGTTTCACGAGTAAGCTGAAACGGAATTGAAAAAATTAGTGATAATATCAATTAAAACAAAACTATTTTATTTTTACGAAAAATCAAAAGTTAAAAAAACTAATAAAACAAACTTTTATGGAGTTTTCAATTCACAACAAACCCGCTCTCAAATCCAAATTTAAGAGGCATTCAGCGTAACCATGACAACAGCGTAAGTTTGTCCACTGCCATTTCCTAAAAGAAATACTACAAAAAGGTGCGGAGTTTGGAAATAAATTTCGAAAATTAATAAAAGAGTAAAAAATCATTTAATTAAAAAAAATTTCATGTTTCCTTAATTATTTAGTTCAAGAGCAGAAAAAACAGAGAGCTTCATATTAATAAGTTTTCAATTTTGACAAGCCTTGTACTTACCAGAAATAGGCTATAAAAAGCGAATTGAAAAAATAGTTCCGTCTTTATCAATGCAGAGTTATGCACCTCTCTTATAACTCCAGAATCCCTTATTCTATCATCCTGAAATTTTGATAACTGATTCAAGGAGTTATTTTAACCCCCGTTCCTGAAATTCGTTCGAAATTTTCAGGAGAAAATTCAGGAGAGCTGTTTGAAAAAGGGAATTATCCCATTGATTATGCTTTAATCTGTGGGGATTTGCGATACATGGGGGAGAAAATCACACAAAACATGGGGGCACAAAAACATCTCACGGTTAGCCCAACGGCTGAGTGATTCTTGTCCACAATCCGTCTACTATTGAGGATTATTTACGTCACTGTGGTAGGTGCGAGCCGGGAGCAAAATTCGTATCAACCAGTCATACCTGCGTCACCTCATTGGGAGGCAAAAGCTGTATTCCCTGAGCCAATGCGACTCAAAAGCGGTAATTGAAATAAAAATAGAATCAATTATGGATTGAAAGACAAAAGTAATTAAAAAGGGATACTAATTCGTTCTGGAGAAACATAAATAATGGGACATAGAAATAACATAGAAAATTGGGAAACATCCCTGAGGATGATCTGAAGAGATGCCATCACAATTTTGATCCTCTGCAGAGGGGATGGCACTCCCGCTTCGGTAGCCCATTGACCTGCACGCGAAGTCGAGTAATGGTAGCATAGTTTAACGAGGACCAATACCACACACCCTCGGTCCCTACGCAGACTGATCCAAGTGGTCACCCACCCGCACACTGACTGCAACCAGTGATTCTTGACTTCGGTGATCTGCTGGGAACCGTGTCCTAACGATCAGTCCACTGCGGGACCTCTAAAATCGTACTAACTGTTCTTCAGTTCGACAAAAGTTAAGTTTATAAGTCGTTCTATGAGCCTTCATATGCGTGTGAAAAAATAAATAGTAAGAAATTGCTACTTAGAGAGGAGCTTCTCTCAGGGAGAAATAATTCTCTTTAGCCAATCGTTTTGAAGCGTGGTGGTAGTGAGTTCGAATCCCGCAGAGAACCTAGATGCATTTCTTTGTGCTATCCTCCTCTTATTTGGACTATTTGTTCCTTTTCAACCTGCCAAGAGTTTATGAATATTTCTTATTTATTTATTGTTACGCATACGATAAGCCTTTTCACTTTATTGAGTACAAAAATCTGTAAACATTCCTGAATGAATTTTAAATTAACAGAAAAAGGATTCATAAATTTAATCCAAGGTTCAATTTGCATGTAGCTATCAGATAAACGTTTGTATTGCTAGTTTTATAATTAGACGTTTGCCGGCTGCCTATTCTGCACTACACTGAGAATTTTTCCTATATTTTCAATGTACTTTGTGCACTTTAAGCAAGCTACTATAGTTATATCCTTCTGTTGGGGTGAAATACCTTCAATAAATGCTGGTCATTAACTTGAAATCCTTCTCAGTTACATAAACTCTGAATGTACTCTGAATTTCTCTGAATGAACTCTGAATTTCTGCCCAATCTGTTGTTAAGTTTTGATAAAATAAATGAAAGATACCATACTAAGTTTCTTCAAGTTTAAGTATGTTTTCCTTTTAAATGAATAGCGTGAGGCAGGGCCGGATTAACCTATAGGCACACTAGGCACGTGCCTAGGGCATACGAAATTCAGGGGCCTACGCAAAACTTGAGAGAAAAAAATTTGTTGACAAAAATAATTTAGCTTTAAAAACAACAGGTGTATTTTGCACAAAATTATGAAGATAAAAATAAAAATATAATATTTTTCGGTAATAAATTATTTTGCAGAATCTTATAATCTAAGATATTACTTTTTTTTGCGATTTTTGGATTCAACGAAATCTTGTATTATGCTGTCGAATTGCAGATAAAGTTCGATAAACAAATTTTTATATTAAAATCCATATTAATAAAATAAAAATGTTAAAAAAAATATGCAAGAAAATTTTAGCATATATTTTGAAAAGAGGGGAGGAGGGGGGGAAGGAGGGGAGGGCCCAAAAACGGCTGTGCCTAGGGCCTACGAAAGGTATAATCCGGCTCTGGCGTGAGGCCTTAATGGGCTTATAAGCCTTTGGTATAAAATACATAAACCTGTATAGAATTTAAGTTTACCATATGCTGTAATTAAGCACTTGTTGGTTATTGCTTGCTAGAATTTAAGTTCTTTAAGGACTTAAAAAAAGACCCAAAACCCCAGATTTATGTATTTCATGAATTAAATGGAATTAGAATGAGGGTCGAGGCTTCCCTGGCAGAGTATACACGCCGATCAAACCAGAGGTCCTTAGAATGGAGGTAATGGATTCGAATCCCTCCGTTTGAAATGTTTTGACTTGAAAATGGCTAATCATCAATCTTTGTGATGAGGACATGAGTCTGAGTAAATATATTAAATGAATAGTAGTAGTAGTTTACTTACGTAGCACGTATTGACAACGTTTTGGGAAACCTCCCTGAGGATGGTATCAAGATGTGCCATCACAATTTTTGATCCTTCGCATTGAGGATGGTTCTCCCACTTTGCTAGCCCAATGACCTGAGCGTGAAATAGAGCACTTTATGGTAGGTCAGTTCACATGCCCTTGATTCCTTTGCAGGTTGCTCAAAGTGGCCACCCATCCGGTCACTGACCGCTGCCAGTGATGTTTGATTTCGGTGTTCTACTGGAAAACGTGTTACGATCAGTCCACTTAGGGACGTTAAATAAATAGAATAAAGGTTATAGAGACTACGATCTCTTATTGCAACAAATAGATCATTTATTTTTGACCCCGAAATCGCGGAATATCTCATGACTTATATTTTATTTTATAACCGTCGTTAAACAGCCGACCCAATTTTTGGGGTTAAAGACTACTGATGTTCAACTTCGTGGCCTTGTAATTTTGAACCCAATCCTGAAGGCAAGGAAACTCCTGGATCAAGTATGTAACATTTTGATGGAACCAACCCACATTTACGTTACATGGAGAGGAAAACCACGAAAACCTCCCATAGTTAGCCCGATGGCAAAGGGACTCCGTCTACCACTGAGGATATTTTGCGTCAGCCCTGTGGACGGTGCAAGCCAGATACGGAATTCGTATCGACCAACCATCGCTGGGATTCGAACCCAGTTCCCTTCGTTGGAAGACAAACGCTTAACATACCCTGAGCCATCACTCGTTATAAGAAAATATCATTAGGCTGCGTCTAATTAAATTTATTGACCAATTTCATAACTGACGTGGTGCCACCTTGGCTGAATGGTATCGCCCACCAAACGCTGTGCGAAGCGTGAAGGTGGCGGGTTCGAATCCCGCTCTAACCCTGGATATATACTACGTGATGTCCTTCTCTGCATTGTTCTATCTATCCTTCTTCTTGAAGAAGATTTATAAACCTAAATTGAGCACACGAGCCTGCAAATGTATCTAATTTCAATAACGCAATAGTTAATATAATTGAATGCAATCGCAAATTGTGGCTCTTTTAACTGAAATGGCGACTACGTTTTCTGATCGAGATGAAAAATACATGCTGTATAACCTGTATCTTGATAACTGTCAGTTAACAAAATGTAAGTGCCAGAATATACTTTAAGAAGCAACAAGTGAAATTAATAATAGTGGGTGTTTCGAAAGGAACCGTCTGATCGAGAAGCACCAAAAAGTCGAACACCAACAACTTCATGCGAAATATGATTAACTCAGAATGAATATCGACAATGGACAAAACAACTATGTAGCAACCTTTTTTTTGTAATGAAAACTAAATAATTGATGTATATTTGTGCCTACTTAAATAATTATAATATTAAAAAGCATTAAATAAAGAAGTTTGAGCCCACTGTCGTTCTTAAAAAGTTGATTCAGTTTTAATGGAACTCATTAAACTCAAAAGTTCAGTTCTAATCAGCTGCATTACTTTTTTTTTTAAGAAAAAAAAACTTCATACGTTTAATCAAGTAAACTAAAATGTTGTTCTATTTTATGTAACTTTAACTAAATAAGTTTTAAAAGTGCTTTTGAGATACCAAAAAGAAACTCATTAATTATAACAATATAAAGCACTTTCGTATCTTAATTGTGTGTTTGACGCAGATTTGTAAGAATTTTTAATCATTTTAACCCAAACATCTTATGCTTATCAGAGATTGTCGAGAATGTTGAAAGTTTCGGAGCTCGTCTTATTATTATATCTAATAAAAACAATTAGAGGAAATGTAAGTAATTTTAAATTATATCTCAATTGTCAATTTTATTAAACTGAAATTTAAACCTAATTGTAAATTTTTTTCTTGAACGCCAGTCTAGAGACAGCTGTTAAAATATTACAAAATTACTTAATTGATGTTTCTAATTTGATTTTACACTTGAAAATTGTTACATTATAAAATATAATTATTTTAGTGCGTTATAAAAAGCACTACCTTAATACCCACATTTTATTAAGAAGTCTTATTATGCTAATTGAGAAAAAGATGACTAAAATATTTTACAGTAATGTGGTAGATTTCGAATCTATAATTCATTTCTAAATATAGTATTTTACATAAGATTCGTACATATTTTTAAAATTGTTAAAATCTTAACTATAAGCTTATGTTTTACTCATTTTTTTATGTATGATGTATTACAGTTTTATCTTTAATTAATTGCCAAAATCAATTTTTTAAATTGATTACACTTTTTCTAAAAATTTGTGCAAATTTTATTTCGATTTAATGAAAAAAATACGAAAGAAAGTAAATAAAATATTAATTTCTAACTCACTAAAATGTTAAGACCCAAACAAGATAACGTTTTATCATTTTCTTTTTTTTTTAAAAAATCTGATTTTTTTTTCAAGTTAAAAATTTTGTTTTTAGGAGTATTATACGAAAATACAATAAAGTAATGCCAACCAAAACCAAAAGCCATTATCTGAATAAATATACCTCTTTCTTCGAATTTATTATTTTTAGTAAAGTTCTATTCTTAAATTTTTGATGAAAATGTTATGTTTATTCCAGGGATCTAAACTTTTTTTAAATTCTGTAATTCAAAATTAATTCGAATATTATTAAGCTAAAACAAAAGATTATTAAATGTTCCATTTAGATTAAATTAAATGTGGCTAGATGAATACATAATTAAGTTTAGAAACTTTTATTCAAGAACAATTAGTTTCGGAGATAAAACGATTTACGTAAAATTAAGAAGAAAAAAAAAAAACTTTTCCCAACTCATCAAATTACCTTTTACTATTATATTTGTCGAAGAGTTCAATTCAAATAACTTTAAGAAGAGGAAAAGGACATTTCAGAGACGCTGAATTTTAATGAAAGATTCTTTATCTAAAGAAAATGCGCTTTTATAAGTTATTAAACTATGGGGATTGTGACTTGCATTTTTACCAACTTTTACGAATTTTATGAAAGATATTTTCTAGTGGTAACCAATTTTATGCTTACTTTGAATTTGAAATGTTTGAATCACCACCACAACAACATAAAATTGGCACAGGAGCGATGTTTAAACATGTTGTAACTTGATTATTGCATTTTAACATTTGTCTGTCCAAAAAGTTATACTAATCTTTAGTTTACTGATAAACACTAAAAAATGAATAAACAAATCAAATTATGAAATAAAATTATGGAAAAAGTTCAAATTATGGAATAAGAGAAAAATACCCTTTAATACTAAGAGCTTAAAGACTAGTTGTTCATCAGAAAGATTTCTAATTTTATAAAATTTGTACATAAGTTCTGAGCACAAAGTTTTCCGTGTTCTAGTTCGTTGCAAAGCAGATGATTAATAATAAAATTGTTTCTGTAAAATGGTAACAAAATTAGGAAATTTCGTTACTGACTAGTAGTAAGTCGAAGGTTTTTTTAATAGTGATTACTTTTGTAAACATTTGACCACTTTAACAAAAATTGAAGATTTTAAACTGTTAAAGAAACTAATGATAATATTTAAGTAAATATTTTTGGATGCATTTTTTAAAATTTGTTCATTACACTCTAAGTAGGTATGCGTAAAACTTAAGTACTACATTGTATGCAACGTTTTCAACTAATAAAATTTATGGTTTGAGTTTTTGAACTAATAACGAAACATTCGATACGAAATAAACGTAATCATAAAGATGACGTAGCGTAGTTACCACTACAATTATTCAATTTTAAATCGGTAATATATAATACATGTTAACTTTGTGTGAAAAGAAGACGCAATAAAATTAAACAAATCGTGACATTGTTGTCAATCCATACATGAGTTGATGAAATAATTGAGGAATTGTCTTGATATTTGAGACTTGGGTATTATGTCACTACGTACAATGTTATAGTGATAATTTTAAACCAAAAAATTAAAGTTGACCGTAATTTAAAAAAAGAAGTTTTATGAAATGAACGTTTACTTGGAATTTCGAAACAGTAAAAAATAACCGAAATGTTCCGAGGATGATTTGATTTGATTTTATAATGGGCATTGAGCAGCGGACCCAATTCGAGTTTACGACTATCAGTGTTCAACTCCATAGCTTTGAACTTAACTCAGAAGACAAGGTAACTCCTGGATCAAGCATCGGGAGAAACTAGCCTCCGTGGAGGACTTATGAAAGAACTAATCCGCGTTTGCGTTACTAGTGAGGAAAACCGCTGCGTTGCTGGAAACCTCTAATCTCCCAATGGCGGCTAGCCTAACGGCAAAGGGATCCATGATCGGTCGATTGAGGATATTTTACCAGAATTCTTATCAGCCACTAGAATTCATTCGATCCTGGGTCAAATCCATTGAGCTACCGCTGCTTTCTTAGGATGATTACAGCTTTCCTGTGTAATAAATAAAACGAGTGATTGAAAGCACACGAGGTACGCTTTCGATGAAAAAAATGGTGATTAACAAGCAAGGGTGCCGGCAGAATAATATAAAAGGGGGTGCAACCCTCTAACAAACTACCCTCCCCTCACCCCGAAAAAAAATTAAAATATTCTGCTATTACATTTTGTTTTGTTATTACATATACTTTCATCTGTTCATCTTTTCAAGATACATTTCTTCATTGTTAGCAAGATATTTAAAAAAAAAAGTACGAATTTCTTGTACTTGCAAATTTTGCCCAGAGGCGATCGCTCTGGCATAGCTACTGACTTTGAAACACAAATAACTACAAACAGTAGTTACGTATACTAACGTGTTTGTGCACGCTTAATATTATTTATTGTGTTGATGAATTTTTTCAGTTGCGAGAAGTCAGCTTGTGTTATACACCTTTGTTAAACTGAATAACTAATAGAAAATATAATATTATTTACATTTTATTAAATGAAATTTAAAAATATAGCTTAGATATCTGCCAAGTTTGTGAATGCTCAGTGTGCATAAGAAAAGAATCAAAGATGACTCAGAATTCATTGAAAAAGTTAAAAATAGATTTGGACAACAAACAAGACGATTACAATTCTTGTTTGATTAAACAATTTTTCAATTGCTATGTATCAATAATTACTTAATTATTTGTTTTTCCATAAAAATATATTTAATAAAAAAAATTTATAACAAAATTTTTCTGTACCTCTTTAATTGTTTAAAAAAAAAAGACAGGGGGTGCAAGTACACCCCGCTGCCGGCGCCCTTGTTGACGAGTAATTTTTTTATTGTCAGTTATTATATTCCCCTTGTCGCAGTTAGCGACTGTTAATTTTGTCCTACAATGAAAATTAATGTTAATATATAATTATGTAAATATTTAGAATTAAGCAAAGAAGCATGCTTCCGCACAAATGTTATTATTTTGAAATATTGAGAAGTGTCTGTGTTATGTAACAATATTATTATTATGCAGGTAAATAATGAAATATTATCAGTCCTTCCTGATACTACGAGTGATATCTTTAGCCTTCCAAGTAAGTTATTCACAACTCCAATTTACAATCTTTACTATTTATGAGTGTTACAGATTTCCATTACATTATTGATAGTCAGTCACTAAAGAAATCTTAAAATCTAAAAAAATCGGTTCAATAGGAAAATATAATATCATCCAAATTAGTAAAAATTTTCATTAGGTTAAAAATTTTACCAAGTTTCCACTTATATTGAATCTTAATATCTTGTAAGTAAGTTTTCGATTATTTAATTTATACCATAACGTTTATCTTTAAACCATATTGTATTCGTAGCAAATTTGCACGATAATATAATTCAAACACACTTTTAACAGTATATAAAATAACGAAAAGAAAAGTGTTAAAATTAATTCACCGAATATATCTATGTCTAAAGGTATTTTTCTGAATTATTATAATTTATTAATCATTTAAAATACACCTATTTAAAGCATACATTTTTCTACTTTTTTAATGTATTATTAAACGTAAAATGATGCATTTTGATGAGGAATAAATTGAAAACTACAAAAAAGTATTCGTTAAAATAATTTAGAAATATTTTACCGACAAACATTAAATTTGTTTCTAGGGACCAATAATAATACCCCACTAAATATGTTGTAGAGAGGGGAAAAGTATCTTTATGAATAATAATTATGTCAGTTTATATACCTTTAAATTAAGTGGATATTTCCTTCTATTAGCTATCACTTTAGCAACAAAAAAAAAAACTTACGCATGATTTTAGATCTAAATGTAGATAGTTTAGCGAACATTAATGTTTTACGGTGGACAGGAATGTTTTGCTTCGCCAAAAATAAATATTAGCAGCGGAATAATTGTGTTAGTAATTTTTATTTTTAGGAAAAAGTAAAAGTTGGATATTAATGAATAATGAACGAATCTTTATATTTTTAATAGTTTCTTTTTATTTTTCCTAAAATAAAGTTCGGCAATGAATCCTACATTAAACTTTTTTTTCTCTATCTAATATATAATTCATCCCTTTAAAACAGAATTTTTATCAAACATATTTTTCCTATTCTTTTTCGTTATTTTGTATTACTTTAAGTCAAAATAAGAAAAAAAAATACTGTAGTTAACATTTTAATATTTTATGGTTTTTAAAATGTGCCGACCGGCCTGTGTAGGGGTCAGGGAATTGGCCTTGCATCAGAAAGGTACTGGGTTCGAATCCCGGGCATGGATGTTTTTTTTCAATTTCTGTACTCTGTCCTTGCTGCGGGGGCAACTTTGGCCCACTTAATATGGTACCCCTGAAAGAGTGGCCAACAAATCTGCCCTTCTGTAGCCTGTATGACGAAAGGTCATTATCCAGGTGGGCATCGGAGAAAATAAAAGCGTTATTAAAATGATAATAATGGTCGGATAGAATGACAGCATCAAGAACATTACATTTACTTGCTAATAAAATTTTTACTTGATGAATTAATGAATGAAACAGTTAACAATTTAANATTAAACGAATCTTTATATTTTTAATAGTTTTTTTTTATTTTTCCTAAAATAAAGTTCGGCAATGAATCCTACATTAAACTTTTTTTTCTATCTAATATATAATTCATCCCTTTGACACAGAATTTTTATCAAACATATTTTTCCTATTCTTTTTCGTTATTTTGTATTACTTTAAGTCAAAATAAGAAAAAAAAATACTGTAGTTAACATTTTAATATTTTATGGTTTTTAAAATGTGCCGACCGGCCTGTGTAGGGGTCAGGGAATTGGCCTTGCATCAGAAAGGTACTGGGTTCGAATCCCGGGCATGGATGTTTTTTTTTCAATTTCTGTACTCTGTCCTTGCTGTGGGGGCAACTTTGGCCCACGTAATATGGTACCCCTGAAAGAGTGGCCAACAAATCTGCCCTTCTGTTGCCTGTATGACGAAAGGTCATTATCCAGGTGGGCATCGGAGAAAATAGAAACGTTATTAAAATGATAATAATGGTCGGATAGAATGACAGCATCAAGAACATTACATTTACTTGCTAATAAAAATTTTACTTAATGAATTAATGAATGAAACAATTAACAATTTAATGAATGAAAAGATTGTGAAATTTGAGAAGAAATTAAAAAAAGAATCCTCCTTCAAAACAAAAATGTCAACAGATAGCTTTAAGTTGCTGGAACTTCCGTTTTTAAAAGGAATTTTTTTTTTTTTTTTTTTTTTTGCAACTTAGTTTAATCCAGTTGGTATAATTGAAACAGCTTTCTTTTTTTAAGAAAATAAGTTAACATTAACAAAAGTTAAATTGAACATTAACTATTTTAGTTTCCTCATTAATTTATTGTCAAGCGTTTTGACTGAATTTAGCATTAGTTATTATCTCTACTGAATAATCAAAAACTAATTACGATTCCAGTTATTTTCGCTCTCTTTAATCATTCAGCCAGATCTTTGTAAATCAAAGATGCTGGTCCCATACTTAAATTTGTCCCGATTTCTGTACTGAAAAATAATTTACCTTCAGACGTTTATAACATATGAATAAAAAAGTACAATAGATATTGAAGCATTCTCAGGTGGTATAAAAATAGCCGTCGTTAATGTTTACAATAATAGAAATTTTGAGTAGAATGCCAACTACCCTTTATGCCAACTATCAATTCTCTCTCCAATAGTAGATCGCACCGACCACAGTGCTGACATAAAATATCCTCAGAGGTAGACGGATCACGGATTAGAGTCCCCTTGGCGTCAGGCTAACCGTGGGAGGTTTTCGTGATTTTCCTCTCCATGTAACGCAAATATGCGGTTTAATTCCATGAAAAAGCCCTCTAGGAAAGCAAATTTCTCCTAATTCTTGATCTAGGAGTTCCCTTGTCTTCTGGATTGGATTCAAAATTACAAAGCTACGGTGTTGAACATTGGTAGTCGTAAATCCAAAATTGGGTCGGCTATTCAACGACGGTTATAAAATAAAATAAAATAGTAGATCGAATAAGTGTGATTTTAATTAAATAATAATCATTGCAATGATTCTTTCTTTTATTACTAGAAATAATTGTTTCAGCAAATATGTTGTTACTATAAATTCCCCTTCTATGTTTTACTATAAAAAAATCTGATATTTTCATTACAGATGGAACTCACGACACTTCACTTGCAGAATCTCCTAACCATAAGAGAATTCTTTCTGTGAGATTTAGCAATAGGAGCCTTCTCAAAATTCCTTTACAGGATTCGAATGTCTCTTCCCTCATTTGCTTTCCAAGTAGTGACCAAGATTACAAAAATGTCTATACTTTATCCCACATCACTTGCAGGACAATGGGCTTCATGACCTTTGCTTCAATCAGAGCGAAAATGTCTCCACTCAATCGAGCAAGAATCAATCCTAGAGATCTGGACTGCTCTGGTCTAGAGCGAGGGGCTTCTACGTCATGCAAACCTTTTCGAACTACGACTGAAAATTGCCGAATGGTCACTGAAGTAACTTGTGGAGGTCAGTTATAAGAAATATACGTAACTATAAATACTGGTTGTTTCGTTATTAACTCCCATAAAATATGATTACAGCATCTTTTTTAAAATTAAAACCAAAGTATACACATTAGGACAGGGAATTTATCTTCATTCGAGCAGAAAACTAAAGCGATATCAAAATCTTGCAAATCACTATTAAGGAATGTGGGAATCAAAGCCAGTTTGATTGCTAGATGGTTCCGGGTGAAGTTAATAAGAGGCTATTAAAAAAACTTCAAGTTACAACTGGTTCTCAATAGTGATTGATCAGATTTCAATGTTATTTCATTACTTCTTCGTTTAAATAAAGGTACTTGTAGCAGAGACCGTTTTGGTGTAGTTGCAGCGAGGATCTCTTAGGATGGTTTTAAAAATGACCCCATGAAGTAGTTGCAGCAAAGATCACTTTGGAGGTAGTTGAAACAAAGATTTCCTTGGGGTAGTTGCAGCAAGTATCTCTTAGGATGGTTTTAAAAAAGACTCCATGAAGTAGTTGCAGCAAAGATCACTTTGGAGGTAGTTGAAACAAAGATTCTCTTAGAATAGTTGCAGCAACGATCTCTTAGAATGGTTGTAGAGAAAAAAACTCCATGAAGTAGTTGCAGCAGAGATCACTTTGGAGGTAGTTGAAACAAAGATCCCCTTGGGGTAGTTGGATCAAAATTCCGATTCGGGAAGATGTAGCAAATATCCTATTGGGGTAGATGTAGCAAGGTCGCTGCAAAAGAAAAAGTAAAGAGTAGTTTATTGTTTTTTTTTATCTATTCAAATATATACCAGTAGTAAATACAACCGATTAGGCTCCAATTTCCGGAGGAGTTTTTCAGTTTTTTTAAGGAAAAAAAAAGGCCCATTCACATCGTCGGTTAGCTTTTTAGACGCAATTCAAAATGCTTGCTAAAGAAAATTGATATATCTCGAAATGAGTGTATAAGTAAATGGACACAGATCAGTGAGGCAGATGGTTCAGGCCTCGCTCACTCCTCTGATTGGAGATCTGGGGGCAGTTAGTTTGAACCTGGTGGCTGACTGAACAACTGGCTTGTATACGCAGCAATGTGCCTGTTAAATCTGACGTGGCTGAAAGTCCTCACGTTGGTAGTGAATGGAAGTTTGTAGGGAGAGATACCAGCTCTGAAACAGATCTAATTTCGACGCAATCGATATTCCTGGTCCCCCCCCCTGTCTTGTCTTATCCCACTCTCCTCTATATTATTAGTATATTTTGGTAAAGGGAATTATCTTGCTTCTGCAAAATAAATTCTAATAATAAAATACTTGCGCCGCTATTTTTTCTTTTTTGAAAAAAAAGAAAAGAAAATTTGTCCTCTTAAAAGTGCGCTTAAAATTAAATTTGTAAAACCACTAATCGTATATTAAATCGTGTACTACATCATGTACTTTTTAATTTCTTCCATGAAATTCTTCATGAAATTCTTAAATCATGTAATAATTATTTAAGTAATAATTATATAAGTAATAATTATATAAGTAATAATTATATAAGTAATAATTATGTATGTAGAAATCATTTTAAATAATAATCATAGAGTGGCGAGTTATTTCGTATATTCAGTTGTCAATGTCCCAGCATGCGTGTGGAGAGTTATGCGTTATACTCAACTTTTCTATTTTATGCACAAGACTTTCAATGCCCGTGTAGCAAATGGTGACTGATGCACGTTAAATCTGTCGAGTTGCAAAGTCCTCCATGTTCCCCTAACAAATAAATACCTCTGTGGGTACTGATCCAGGAGTTTCTTTGTCTGGATTGGTTCAAAATTACAAGGCTACGGAGTTGAACACAAGAAGTCGTAAACCCAAAATTGGGTTGGCTGTTTAACTATGGATTTAAGAAGAAAAAACGACTTCCGAATGGTAGTGAAATGCATGCTTCAATATTTCTTTTTTTAATTTACACGAATCTTGATCCCTACTACAAATATAAGAAGATTTACTGTGTAAAAAGTAACCACCCACATTTTTATAATTTAAAGATAAACAGATTGATGTTTCATATATTTTTACTACTAAACAATTTAATTTAAAATACTCATTATAGAAAAATTTGTTGCTTAGCACTTGCTAAACATTACGTGAACCACAATAAACTTTTGTTGTATGTAATTGTTTACGGTGGGAAAGTGAAAGTTTTATAAAATGCTGTTATATTTTTAACCACCTACTATTTTATATAGTATGCTAAATCTCATGAGCTAACGTGCTCAGAGAAGCTTTATTTGTAAATTAACTGCTCCAATCTACAGAATGTAAAAAATTCAAACTAAATTTAAAAAGACCAGTATTTTCTGACAGTCTCACTCTCCGACAAAAGTATGTTAGTTTTTAAACGACGTAAATAATTTATTTTTGTCAAATTTAATACTTTATAATGTTCATCAAACATTTCTATATTTTCTTCTAGCTTGCAATGGAACAAGCAAAGGATTCAAAGGAGTGATTAAGAGTCCCGGTTTTCCATTTGCTTCCTTTGATGATGTAACGTGCGAATGGAACGTAATGGTTCCAGAACATCATAGTATTATCCTGTCTTTCAATCAATTCGATGCAATTGATACAGAATCAGCAGATCTCCCATGTGGTTTACACAGACCAAGCGTACAAATAATGTTCGGAATTCAAGTAAGCAACCTATATGCGTTTGCTTTTAAATTAAGCTGTGAGGAATAAATCTTTATTTTAGATATTACTAAATAGGTAATAGGTAATAATTACTACATTTGTACAAGATAGAAGATTCCATTCCACCTCTTTCAAACCTTTTTTTCAATTTAATTATAAATGTCCAAGTGGTTTTGGCTTCCATTTTTTCAGCTCACATCCTCGAAGAGTAGAGAGACAGTTCTTTTTCCCTTTTTTACTCATCGTGGAGGGCAACAACTTTTGATTTTGTTACTCTTAAGTAGAAATTATGTCAAGCTTTTTGCATTGATTTTTTAGCAGCAGGAACCACATGAGAAACTCTACTTGCTGCTTTGTGCATTCAATAAATTCATCTATTTGTTTTGAGTCATTAAACTTTGAACTGCTAGCTTAGAGATATGAATTACGTTTTGTTTACTCTTCGTAGAAGATTTATTCAAAATTTTTTAGTTTTGTACACCACTATTTGTAACAGAAAATGTGAAATCTTTGGTATCTCTGAATGGGAACAGGCCAGATCTGTGGCTAAGGACGGGATTAGGTGCAGAGATATGCTAAAGGCCCTAAGTGTCTGAAGACGCAAAGAGGATGCTTAGGTTAAAAGTAAAAAATAGAACAGTTTACTTACATAATATATTTCAATCATACAATTATCTCTTCTATTACCCAAGATAGTTTATGCTACAATACAATTTTTTTCCCTCTGTAACATAACTGTTTCAAAGACAAATGTGAACATCGATTTAAACTTCTCTTAAGTTATTTTCTTTCATGGATATGTCGACAAGGATTTGAAAATTTCTGAGTTTAAAAATTAAAAAATATAGGTTAGTAAATTTTAAATAATCTTCTCTAAACATCGTTTTTTTTTTTAGTGCAGATCAGCCGACTTGACTTAAAGATTTTGTCAGCGCTATAATAGTTTTAGCTGCTGCCTGGGTGTAGGATTTTTCGAATGCATTCTTAGTTATAATGAAGTTAATATGAGAAATTTCTTATAAACCTGACTTTATTTACGGTAGTGAACTATTTTTGTAAAAGACTCTTGTTCTATCTCAAGTTGCCCACCAATCGACGTGTAACATCTAATCGATCGAGTCGATCAGATATTTCCTAAGTAATCTAATTTTAAATATCTGACTTTTTTCAAAATTTGATAACTCAGGAAATATTTTATACTATATTATAGTACTTTGCATTTTCACTGTTAATCTAATTTCAAGTTTCTCATTAAAATTTGTTAAATTTTTATTTCAGTCAAAAGTGACTATTCATCGTTATTGTCAACTAAGTGAGCTGAAAAATTTGAGTATACCATTCCACACGGTGAAAATCATAGTTTTTACTGGATTGCAGGGAAGAAGGCTTTCGAAGAATGAGCTCGGCATTTCCATATCATTCGAAGGTATGCAAAAATAACTATTTTTTTTGTCTTCATTTTTACAGTTAAAAACTAAAGAAAACTTTAGAAAGAGTTTTTAATAAAGCTTTAAAAAGTCTTTAAGCAAATGGTTTTTCTTATGAAGCTAGTTTTAGAACTTTCTTCAGGTTAAAAGCAGTTTGTTAAATTTATTTTTTTGCGTACTTCACCATATCTTACGAACTTTTAAAACGAATCGGAAATATTTCTGCATACAATTTTATTTTATAACCGTCGTTGAACAGCCGACCCAATTTTGGGTTTACGACTACTAATGTTCAACTCCGTATCCTTGTAATTTTGTACCAATCCAGAAGAGAAGGAAACTCCTGGATCAGTACCCCCAGAAGTATTGACTTGTCATGTGAACATGGAGGACTTTGTGACTCGACAGATTTAACGTTTATCAATCACCATTTACTACACGGGGTGTCTTCGGCCGGTTGGGATCGAACCCACGAACTCTTGGACCTGGGCCCAGTGCCCTACCAATCAGGCTATCCCGGCCTTTTCTGCATACAATTATAAAATTCGTTTGTCCAAAGAAAATTTCATTCGAAAATAATTTCTAATTGCTTATTTAATAATTGCCGAAAATTTTTTTTAATTGTACTTGTGTTCGATTTCGTGCCATTTTTGTAACCTAAAACATCATCTGAAATAGTTATTTAGCATACTTTTTGCCAAACCATCGATACATAGAATCCAGGTTCATGAAAAAAGTTAAAAAATTTTTGATTAAAATCCTATCAAGAAAATGCGAGTATTATCCCTTAGTTTTATCAAGAGTGCGGTCGATAGTAGCAAATGCTAATTTCCCTTAACTCATGAATTTTTCAAAGAATAAAAAACTCTTTAACCACAAGTATAAAAATCGAATATCTAAAGGTATTATGAACAATCCAAATATCCATATCCAAAGATATACTGTAGTTTCAAATCTTTAAATCAGAATTATCATGGAATTATCAAATCTTTTAAAAGTCGTATATTTAAAACTTTATTTCACAAGAACCATTCGATCGATTTCGTTCAAATTTTGATATTTTCTATAAAAAATTTATTCTTTGAAATTCTGTAAGGATTTTTGTTCCTTACTACTCAGTTTTTCTTCTATTATTTTGATAAAATAATAATTAAAAATTTATATGCATGCACTTTTACTTGCATAAGCACATTTTATAACTGTGAGAAAATAAATATTTGATTCACTTAAAAAAATTCTTGAGGTATGGTAAAATAAGCTAGAAGTAATAATAATAAGGGGTCCAACGGTTTCCTTTTTAAACTATTTGGACTATATTTCCCATATAATGGCATACCCTCTCATATTTTGAGGGTAGGAATCCAAATCCGTTGAAAAAAAAAGGTACGTTTATTTAGAGAAAGTACGTTTTTGCATCTGATTTCATAACTTAATACATCTTCATCACTGATTGATTGCCTAAATTACGTTAAGCTTTCGAACCATTAAAATTGAGCTCTTGTAAGCGAAAATCCGATCACTAGATCAAAAGTTATTCTCTGTGCTCCATTCTTTCTCTTTAGCACTTTAAATTCATTACAACATGGACCTATTTTTGCAAAACCTATTTTTACCTATTTTTGCAAAAAATGTGTTCGTGATTTTTGATTTAATCGCGTAATTACTGAAACAATGGTGTTTTTTTCAAAAAGGAATAAACCTTCTAATTTTCCCCCTCAATTTTGAATGCCTAAAAATGTCAAATATATTGAAAATATACAATCATAATATAGCAAAACGTGGCTAACAGTTAACACAATCCAAAACTTTCATTGAAAGAAAAGGTTTTTTAATCACAACAAATTTATAATTTTTTGTTCTGACAATTTCTTTAATATCCTGAAAGTAAGTATTAAATACAAAGGTGGTTATTAAAGTAATGGCGGCTATAATAATAAAATACTAATTTTATCTAAACAATCATTCCTTATGCAACAAATGAATCGGAAGATTTTACATGGCAGAACTGTTGTCACAATTTGAAAGATCATGCTTGAAGTTTTTGCAAATGATGTCATAGGCAAAGTTTGCATTCTCCGAAGTAAGAAGATATTAAAAACTTCAATTTTGAAATCAATCTTCAGGATTGCAATATTTATATTAGAATGTTTTTGTTTTGTTTTTTTCATTATAGTGGTATTGAAAAAGAAAGAAGCGCTTACCTGCATACGCTCATTTTTGCATCATTATATTGGATACATATTGATGCAATCAGCATATTGGTATATTGGATACATATTGATGCAATCAGCATATTGGTATATTGGATACATATTTTGCATCAGTAAAATGGATACCATTTCTGAAAGCTTAAAGCATGATCTTTCAAACTGCGCCAATAGTTTTGCCATGTAAAATCTTCCAAACCATTTCCTGCTAAAAGAAAGATTGTTCCAGAGAGTAAATTTATTGTTTAAATTTATTAAACATTTATTGTATGAATAAAAACTTAGAATTTGCTTAGAATTTTTATAAAAGTGTTACTATTAATTTGTGATAATCACCTGTATATTTAATAAAAAAAAATTATTTAATTAGACTATCAACATTTTGCATTCCAAATCCAAACTCACGAAATAAATTCTCTGTCCCCTTCTTTTTTTTTTAAGCTAGCGTGCCGGCTAAAGAAAGTGATGATTCTCCACTAACATTGCTCGCCTTCTTTCTTCTTGGGGTCATTTTCCTAAGCTGCGTTATCCTCTGCCATTTCATGTGAGTATTCAGAAGATTATTTTTTACATTGATTAAAAAAAAAGAAGAAAAAAAAACTCTGTTCTACTCCCTTAATTGAAACTCTGGGACTTCGGATCCCCGCACAGACCGAATGTAACCAAAAATACGGTGTCAAAAAACGGCGGTCGTCAACTTTTACTGGCTCGACACTTTCAAAGTTAATTGACAGTTAAAGTTATTTATCATGATACTTTGCCACCTAAATTTTACGTTTTTTTGGATAGGAACTTTCCAATTGGTAGTGTAATGACAATTATATTTGTTTCATTATGCAGAAATTTCTTTTAAGTCTCATTACTACATGAAATCGTCATATGTATACATTAATTTATATGAGGCAGTGATTAAAATTCCAGTTTTTAGGCAAGTATCGTATATTAAGACAGAATGTTTGCTAGTACTAAAAAAAGTCTCGAACAAAAAAAGTTTTAATAATTTTCATTTGTCCGTTGTAGTGTGTGACGTATTTTCTAATATAAGGTTGTCAAATCCAGCATGTTATAATATTAGTAAAATTTAGCAATTGACATGCATCATACTTGTTTCAAATGTGTCAGTAAAATTTGTTTACTGTACTTATTTACTTAAATATCTATTTACAGCATCTATAAGTTCAGTAACGACATATAGAAACTCGTATGAAATCCGATCGACTATTTTCGTTAAAAAACAAAAAATGGTGCCAAAAATGAAACTGTTTACGAATACAATATTATTACTTTGATAAACAAATAAAATAACTTTTTTTGTTGTCGTTAAAATACAATAGTTTTACTTAATACTTTTCAAATTTTTATGTTCATTTTCTTTTTTAATTATTTTTAATTATAGTACTTTTATTTTTAGTTATTTTTGCAAATTGTGGAACAAAATTTCTTATAGTATGTTCTAAAACACTAATTTCAAAATTCTTTTTTAAATTAACTTTTCGTATAAATTTCCATTAAATATGCACTGGTTACAATATGAAATGATTTGGTGTCAATTTAGCGAAATTTGCGCCAGTTTTTCTTGTCGATGGAATTTTACAAACATGACCTGAATTGTATGCAACATATCTTTTTAGACAAAAACACAAGCTCTGTGAATGTGGTATGAAAGATCGTGATAGGAGAATTTTAAGACATCCGATGGAACATGCCTATGATTTGCATAATTACAATCGAACAAGAATAGGAAATGAAAATTTGGTAAGCTCTCTCTTTCAGTTTCAAGGATTACGTTACGCTTAAGACACTTTTTTTTTTTTTAAATAAAAGTAATTTTCCATTTGCTTTACACACTTTATTGACAACTAATGATTATTAACATTGGTCAGTTTTTCTCAAATTAATAATGAAAAAATCTGAGGTTTTTTTTTTGTTTTGTGTTAGCTTATATCTCAAATTCATTTGCCTAATAATTTCATAGAACACTATTAAAATTCTGAGTATTTATTTACTTTTATATTTACTAGTATAACACTTTTTATGATTAGCTGTGCATAAAATCGAAGTCAGAGATTTAAAAAAGTCAGATATACAGATATAACTTTTGCATTAGCATAACATTTGTTTAATATTTCCGTTCCTTTTTTTCCAGAAAAACTGGTAACATAATTGTTTTATTATTTGAATTTATTTTGCGCAGAAACTAGATTGTTCTATCTATTACAAAAGCATCTACTATTGTTTATTAAAAAAGTTTTTCGTACAAAGACTACATTTGGTGAACTGCATTAGAGGGTTAAAGTTTATAATGATGATTATAAAAAGGTACTTTGTGAAACGCTATCTTCCATGAGGTAAAAAATGCTTAGTAATCTAAAGCAGTACGAAAATACTCAAATAATACTCACGTGTAAAAAAAAACTTATAAAAGCAAAACGCTGGAAAACATATTTACTTTCTGTCTACAAGGCGACGTAACGTTTTTTTCTTTCTTTTATGTTTTCTCTCCTATACGGAAATCAAATATTTTTGCGTCACTGATTTCAAATCTGCAATCGGTTTCTCCGAGGCAGATTCGGATTTTTAAGCAATCAATTAGTAGTATATTCCTTACTAGTGTTTTTGAAAATTCATTCGAGGGAATAATACTAAGAGTTTTAACTTTTCTGCTACGTAGGAAGTGGAAGTAAGAAAGTAATAATGCATTTCAAATATATATGTGTATATATAGCACAAAGAAGACTAAAAGGCTAAAGACAAAAATGTGGAAAAATAATAAAATTTAAGTTTTATTTACTGTGCATAAGCTGCAAGTATGTAGAACTCATAAAATAAGTTAAAAATACAGAAAAAAATGGGAAATAATATAGATTAATCAAAAGAGAGGAAGAAAAAAATATGTTTTTTCAAAACTATTTATAAAAAATCTATATTAAAAAGTAGGAAAACAAAAATTGAATCATCAGCTCCCACGATTATATCCGCAAAAAGGAGTGCTTTCTAATATTGTAACAATGTAAGAATCTAGTATCGAATTCAAATGAACTTACACGTACCGGAATCTTTCAAAAATCATGTAAAATATTTTCGTTATGAACTTTCCAGATAACAAAGTTCGAAAACAGAATCGCAAGTCAAATTAAAACTGTAAATAGTGGAATTTTGTTTTATGGCGCGTTCCTATTGAAGTACTGAAGAGCGTTTGATTTGCTAGATACCAAATATTGGCTCACAAATGGATAAGCACAAGGTAATAATATTATACTCGATAATTTAAGGAAGTTTACAATTAATAAGGTTTATATATTTATTCATGCAATTTTAATGACTTTAGGAAATTAGCATTTATTTAAAAAAAAATGATCCCCATGGACAAAGCTAGCAATTAACCCCAGCTTTAGAGACACTCTTGAAGAGGGACAGTTAATGGGTTAGCCATTCTGAATTAATCTATCATAATAATTATATATAAAAATTAATCTCTTAACTATCATGTGCAAGAAACCATCGTCTAATTATTTACTCTTATTCAATTTCCCCCTTTTTTTAGAGCAATTGTCCAAAAGTAGAATGTGCAAAAGCAGTAGTTGAACTTCAACAGAATCCTAAAGTGGTATACGAATCAAGAAAAGGTATAAATTAAGAACTTTTCTCTCAGCTGAGTTATTTACCCTAAGACAATTAATTCGGCATCAATTCTGGACAGTTGTGTGACCGATCTAGTACACGTTATAGCAAAAGCGAAAAGTTTGTTTTTGTTATTTAAAGTCGCTAGAAGTAGTTTTTGAAATTGTGGCGACCGCCATTTTAAAAATCTAAAATTGAAAAATGCTCAATTTCTCCCTGTCCATTCCATTTTATTTTATATTTTATAACCGTCGTTGAACAGCCGACCCAATTTTATGGGTTTACGACTACTAATGTTCAACTCCGTAGCCTTGTAATTTTGAACCCAATCCAGAAGACAAGGGAACTCCTGGATCGAGTATTGGGAGAAATTTGCCTTCGTGGAGGACTTTTTGAGGGAGCTAACCCGCATTTGCGTTACATGGAGAGAAAGACCACGAGAATCTCCCCCGGATAGCTTGGCGGCAAGGGGACTCAGACCCATAATCCATCTACCACTGATGATATTTCACGTCAGCACTGTGGTCGGTGCAAGCCGGATGCGGAATTCGTATCGACTGGGATTCGAACCCGGTTCGCTTCATTGGAAGGCGAACGCTCTATACCCATTCTATATACTGTATTCTAGTAGTTCATTTAGTTTGTTGTATGATTGCTGTGCACATTAAATGCACTAAATGTACAAAAATCTTGCAAATTAGGCTATTTCTGGACCTATTTGAATATAATTTTTGCATAAACATTACAAAGAAAATTAAGGCACATAAATAATATTAATGTCTCTATATAACATAAAATCATAATGGTCTGATACCGTTTTCCATTGTTGTCGGTGCATTTTTATTGGCCGGAAAATCACGTGGTAGGAACCGGTTTTCCCCCATTCGTTACCTTATTGTTTAGGTTGTCATCCGCATAAAATTAACAAAAATCGTAAAGGTATTGTTTTCCTATAAATATTTTTGTATCCCTGATTTAAAGTTATTTTTCAGTACTGCTATTATTAGTGAAAATTTCATTATGGTTGTGAACTCATCAAATTTGTTTGAACGATATAATGTATTAAGAATATAAATGTTATTTAAAAAAATGATAATTAAAAAATTACTTCTGTTCACCAAGAGATCTAAATGTTTATAATAGATACTAATAGATATTTGGAAGTGGGAAAGTAGAGGCGCAAGAGCGTAAGTAAACAGAATTCATTTTAGTACATAGATGTTAAGTGAATATTTTTAACTTTTGTAGAAAAACTCTTTTCTGGAAAGAAAAAACAATTATTGCGAAGCAATCATCGGGGTTGGTGAGCTGTAGAGAACAGGGGGCTTTGCCTCCTAGTATATAAGTAAAACTACTGTTTCATATGCACTGAAGCAGTTCTCGTTGCGGCAGGTCTCGTTAAGAGTAAACATTTTCATTCCCTTTGGTGTAACGCACCCCCTTACAATCTTGAAATTCGTGGCATCATATTTATATACATTTGATAGGTGGCGTTTATGCATCATATTGTTCAATCAACATTGCTTCCAGGTATTTTACAAGTTTAATAAATTTAACGTCGATCACTGCCCAATATATAGAAATACTTTATTGCCTGTTACTCTTGGAGTATTAAAGTTAGGTCAATTTAATCTCCGCTCGATATTATTATTACTATTATTTTTTTAGTTTCATTAGTTTTTCTTTCAGGAGTTCAAAAAATGCTGAGAGTTTGTATATGAATGTAATATTCCATGCGTTTCTTTTTTCATTGTTAGAAACATGAACTGAATGGAATTATAGTACATTCTGAGCATTATACTTATTTTTTAAAATTTCTCAACTTGTATTTTCATGTATTTTATATGTTACTTCTATTTTTTTATGTAATTTATACAAACATTTAAATTAGCATATAATTTAAATGTTTGTAATATTACGCTTTTTCCCAACTATCAAGTTTATTAGCACTATTATATCAATTGTTTAACTTGTAATTGGTTTTCTGGCCTTAATATTTTCAGAGATACCAACTGCTCCCCGTTTTGTGTGAGTTTCAATAAATTAATAACGAATTAAAGAGTAAAACTTGCAGAATGAGGGATAATTTCACCAACTCTTCAAAATCCTCAGCAAGAGATAATTGCAACAAAGTTGTATTCTGTATGAGGCTTTGAATTGGCGGAAAAATAAATTAAATGAAATTTACTAAACTTAAAAGAACTGGAAAATCCTTTTTTTCAAAGTGGAGTAAGTAGGCATCACTGATTATTATATTTCCAATGAAAATCAAAAGTTATTTTAAGCTTAGTACCTCAAAGATTATCCCTTTCATCTCTAGCCTCTTAAATAGTATAGTCTATATCTAAAAACGCCTTTGTGAAAGAATTGCTGGTACATATTTGACTATAACGAATGGATGTATTTCATTCTGTTACTTACTATTACAGAAAAAAAAACTATAAGGTACAAAAATAAGTGTTAATATAATTCATATGTTGTGATAGATAGAACTATCCCGTTTTAGCAGATTCGTGTTTGTTCAAATAAATATGTTATGCTTGGTAGAACTATCCCGTTTTAGCAGATTCTCGTTTGTTCAAATAAATGTGTTACGTTGGATAAAACTAACTTGTTTTTGCAGATTCATGTTTGTTCAAATAAATATGTTATGGTAGATAGAACTATCCCGTTTTAGCAGATTCTTGTTTGTTCAAATAAATATGTTACGGTAGATAGAACTAACTTGTTTTTGCAGATTCATGTTTGTTCAAATAAATAAGTTATGGTAGATAGAACTATCCCGTTTCAGCAGATTCGTTTTTGTTCATATTGTTAAAATGTTACGGTAGATTTTGTTTTTGCAGAATGAATCCAAATAATCAAATACTTGTGCAAACATTTTTCCTTTTTTAGAAAAAAATAAAGGAACAGTCCTTTTTAATCTTTTCTTTTTAGTCCTTTTAGGAGCAAAATCGGGATTTCTCTCTTCAATACACTATTTCTCTAACTAATTATAGCAAGTAAGAACCCAGTTTTGCTATTCAGAGAAGACTGCAGGTAGAAATACGACTTTTTACGTGTGCAACAATTAATAGTTTGAAAGAACGTTTAACGCATAAACAAATGAGCGATTTTATCGATATCGTGATTTTAGAAACTAACTTCATCATATCATCTATTACGTTAATTAATTAACATTTTCTTCCTGACAACGAAATATCTAATTATATATGATTTTTTTTAAAATTTATTTTACAGACTTCCACGAGTATACAAGTCTGCTTGACACTTCAGCAGGATATATTCCAAGTGTAACTCGCGGTTATAGTGATCAAGAGAAATTGAACGCCAGTCTTCACAAAAAATTAAATTTATCTCACAGTTACCACGGAAAAGAGGATCCCAATCGATTGTCTGTGTCACCTCCCACGCCTTATTATGATTATCCCAGGTTCAATGCATCTTCTGAATCTTCCATGGAAGAGGAAAAGAAAAAACTCAAACTTTCCAAGAGTACTTGCTAGTTTTAGTGGGAAAATGTTCTTACTTTTTTACTGAGAATTAATATGTGAAAAGTTCTTAACGATTTTAATGTTGTAAAATTAGAATTATAAATTAAATAAACAAAAATATGTGTCATTGGGTTTCTTTTAATTTTTCGTGAAAGAGTTTTGATAATGGGTTCGAACACAGAGTGAGTGCTGTCATTTGTTAACAGACTCTGACCAATCTGGGAACGTGGGGGTTCTGATGCTCACTAGAGTGCTCTGTCGATTATTTACTCAAGGTTCTTGTCCTGTCGGGTGCTCTTTTTTTTTCACCCAAATTTTTTTTCAGGTTCCCATTCCGTATCCAGGAAAGGTTAAAAAATATCGGGAGAATGGAAAGCTAAGTGTTCGATTTAGAATGATCTAAACTGGATTAATACCTACTAGTCTCGTTTCGCTCTCGAGTACTTGGATAAGGAAATGTATCCGATTGCTATCCTGGATTTAACTTTATGGAGGTATCTCTAAAGAAATTTAGATTCGGGCAAAATGAATTTCTAAAATCAATACCGGTAATGGTTGAATATTTACCTACTGTTCTGTAAGGGCTCAGCAATGTTTTTTTTTTCTGTAACGGCACGTACTGAACCTTTGCCAGAAGTGTTGCTCATTTAACGTTACCCAGTGGGCACCTTTGAACCTAAGTCACGGAGGCGAGCAACATTACCCACACCACACAAATACCCGTTCCTAGGGTAGGCCACATTCACACATCACACACAACAGATGACAACACATAGAGAGAAACATCCATGCCATGCCCAGAGAGGGAATCGAGCCAGCAGCCATTGACTTTACAGTCAGGCATGTTAACCGCTCGGCCACCTGGCCGGCGGCTCAGCAATGTAGAAACCAATAAATGTTCTCTGTTTTGTTTTATACGCTTTGTCTTGTTTTCGCCATACAGTCGAGTTTAAATGGGTTATTGCGGGTATTTGATTAAATTTTTTTTATCTCTTCTGAGATTTATTGATTATTTTGAATATGCAGGTGCTAATCTATAATCCACAACATAATAACGTTTTTTAATCTTGTTCGTCAATTGTCTAACTTCATATAGTAGTGAAGAAATAATGTGGTATTTTTGTTAAGGACGAAAGTGTTTCTTGTACTGATTGACGCATTAACCCCTTAAAGATCGAGAGAAAGAGAAAGGATAGCGTTTACCCAAGCTCACATACTCCGAAAGTATGCGTACTTACGTACGTATACGTATTAATACGAGAGTAGGGTATTGAGATCACATCCGTGTGACCTTGGCTTCTAGAATCGGAAAGGCATCGGATCTTCAAAATAAAAAATTTCCTAGTGGTAAGAAAGTAACTATTGGTGTGGAGTAGTAAAAAAATATCTGATTAACTTTTTACAGTTAGTACAGGAAATTTTTAAAACAGGAAAACCGAAAACTCTAATGTAATTCATGTTTAAACTTGTTAATGTAGTGGTTGTTAAAAGTTTATAAAATCACATTTAATTAGAACAGAAATCAAGTATGAATGCAAACCATTTTGCTACTACATTAAATATAAATATAAAATCTTCCAGAAAATCCTTCAGATAGAAAGGTATGAGAATTTAAAAAATTTCCCTCGATACAACACTTGTTATTTTAACATGGTTAAAAATAGACTTTTCAAACGAATTTTAAAGTTCAAGGACCTGGGGTATTGTATTACAACGTATTGCAAAGAACATATTTCTAGATTTTTTTCTACCTTTGCGATATGGCTTTTCTCACGTGATCTTTGAATTGTGACCCTTTGAACTAAGCATTCGACAAAGTTTATTTTAGATCACAATATTTACACGAAGTTCTACGTATTCGGCGAAAGATCAAGTGTTTGATTTTAGAACTCCTGCATTCTACTTCTTTCTTGATGGAAACTCTTGAAAATTCATGACGTCATAATTTTCTTTCATCGAATGGGTTATTATTTGACGCATTGCCACATCGGAAAGTTCCAAATTCTTAAAATTTTTACACGTTTCTGTTTCATAGTTTATGAAATATTTAAAGAGTTATTTTTTGTACTTGAGATTCTTTTCCTGTGGCAATTAAAGGTGACCTACTTTTGTGTTCTAAAAAATGTGCAAGGTGATTCTGCTCAGTGATTACGTACGGAAGGGAGGTAGGGTAACAATAAGGATCAAAAATTTAATGGCAACACCATGGCTTTAAATATCATCCTTAGCTGTTTGGGGTGCTTCTCTAATATGGACTGGAAGTTCTTGCGCTCTTCAACCAGCATAATTATTTACCTAAATTATCATAATTTTATATTTTCAGATAAATATTGTGAAAAATTTGCATTAAAATATGCCTAAAAAATTACAATTTATTAAAAATTTGTTGACTTTAATAACCAAATCGTCACATTCCACATCAAATTCACTAAGAAAAAACAGCAAAATGAATTGTTTTGTAAATTTCGAAAACTTAAAATTAACACCAAATTTCAATTTTTTTTTAGATAAGTAATAGAGAAAATTCAAATGTCTTCGAACAGTCAGTCCTTAATAAAGGAGCACCCATGCACAATATTTCCGGCTATGGTGTTACCGAGCGATTCCCAACCCATATGATGGAGCACTATTTCCCCTCAAAGATTGCAATTGCCGAATTGAGTCCCTCTGTAGACCAATTATATATAATTGGCATATAAAATTTTATTTTCTTAAGGAATTTACAACTCATTTACATATGAGTACGCTTTACACAGTATACTCATCACACAGTGAATCTACAGTACAATTCACAGTGCAGTATATTTGCGAAGGATCTGCATACATTTTAACAATTGTAACTATACGAAACATATCTCGATAGTTAAAATCAGGGTTTTTACGTACCCATAACAATTTTACTTGTGGTAGTAAATTTACGTTAATTCTACTCTTCTTTGTGGCTTTAACATTTATAGATTGTTGAGATGACCAATATATAACAATTCATTGTCATGTTGACATGACCTATATGTGGTGAAAATCATTAACCATTTAGAATGCAATTTATTTAACACTAAACATACAATAATCGGTTATCGTATGCTGCATTGTATTATATTGTAAAGTGTTGGTATATTTAGTGTTAAATATCAAACTAAGAGGAAAAAAATATTAAAAACTTATAGTAAGTTTTCGTTAAACAACGGTTGTTTTTATTAAGAACTTCTTTCGGTATTTACGAAACATTTTATTTTTATATTTAATGGGGTAATAAAATGTTTGCATTAATGTTTGGTTCCTGTTTTAACATTTGTTTCAATATACTTATAAAGGCCTGTTATTTAAATAGTTTTAGCATACATAGAGAAGATCAGTTAATTATTTTATTGTGTTTTAAACGTTGACGGAAGGCAAATTAAAGAATGCCAATTGCTCCACTTTGCGCAATAGTTTTCGTAAATTCGAAGTGAATTAAACAGTAAAACTTGTGGAATATTTATAACTACCCTTGCTTTTAAAATTACAAGCTAAAGTTGAATTTAATATGAGACTTTAAATTTTTGATTTGTAGGGGTGAAAAAATTACTTAAAAAGAAGTATATTAAACTAAAAATTACTTAAAATTCATAGACACTATAAAGTGTTTCTTCACAAAGCGGAGCAAGTTGGCATCTCTGCGAATAAGTATTTGCCTACATTGTCACTTTAATAGATATCTCACTACAACAGCAGAAAAGCTTTTTTGAAGTGCGTAGAAGTTGGCAGGTATGTAGTCAATTAGAATCAAATTTGCATTATCATTTATATGATGGGGTAGTTATAAATGTTTTATCTCTTTCTGAAATAGATTAATGCCAACACACTTTTGCCATCGATTTTTATTTATTTGAAATAAATGCACGATGAGTCTCACTCATCAAACGATGCCATTGGCTTATTCTTAAATTTAAAAACTAACAGTTCATTCGTAAATGCTACCACAAAGCGAAAGGCTTTATATATCAAGACGAAAAATAGCAAAACTAGGTAAGAAAATCATCATTTCAATCTATCGCTTGCTTTCGGGAAAATTAAAATATTTATAACAACCATTTTTTAATAGTTATATAAATAAGAGACTGTTTACTCTACTAGCGTATATAAAAATATCTCGTATATGTAAGTATGCTTACTCTTATATAGCGTAGATGTGAATAGAAATGAATACTGACTTGGTAATAATATCACTATTTTCGCAGGATTCAATGAATATTTGGTGGGGTTGGACAAAATTATAGGAACAATTCTAAAATTTACTCTCTGGAACAATCTTTCTTTTAGCAGGAAATGGTTTGGAAGTTTTTAAATTGCAAAACTGTTGGTACAATTTGAAAGATCATGCTTAAATCGTTTAGAAATGGTGACCTTTTTATCCATGCAAAATTTGCATCGTCCAAAGTGAGCATATGAAGCTAAAAGCTGCAAAACCATCAACATCATGGTTTGCCATACAGCCAAATGTGAGCCATTGCCTTCCTCTGTAGATTTCTCCATAACTTCCAATTTATACTTGATCCCCAATCCTTTTCATTAATTGCAAGAAACTCAGACTCCACCGAGTCAGCCCACCTCAACCACGGCCTTCCCCGCTTTCTTGTTCCACTGGGTTGAAAAAGCAGGATCGCTTTTATTGTATTGTCATCACTCTTTCGAATCACGTGGTACATCCAATTCATTCTATTTATTTTTGTGCATTTAATAATATCGGGTTGCTTATAAATCTTGCACTGTTCAAAGTTAGATCTCCTTCTCCAGTTATTGTCTTCATTTATTCTGCAAAATCTATCTCTGAAATATTGCGATAAAATTTTCCAAAAGGCTCCAAACCTACTATAAATAAAAATATATATAGATAATATATGCATTGATGCTATCCAATAAAATGATTTCAAAATTGCTGGTATTTAAGCTAGGAATAGCTTAATGATTTCTCCTCCTAATTTTGGACGAAGTAAATTTTGCATGCCTATAAAGGACGCCATTTCTTAAAGATTCAAGCAGGATCTTTCAAAATGTGACAACAGTTTTGCCATGTAGTATATTACGAAAAATTT